TCCTTTCTCCAGTGTTTTCCTACAGTATCTAGCACCTAAATTATAATTTTCTAAGTGAAGATGTTCTAATTCCAGCTGTTTCATGTGATGTTCAGTAAGGCACAGTATGTGTGGAAGATTTGAATTCATGGAGCTTATTAGTTCATTTGTTTTGTTTCTCAATCCTCTTATATTCTGATGGAATATTCTTAGTACTTTATTATTCACTGAATTTAGTAGACTGCAATTACCTTTTCTCATTTCTATTGGTTCACTAACATTACTGTCTGAAAGATTAGTTTCTTTTGCAATTTCTTTTACTTGATAAACTTTACTTGCACTCTTTATCCTAAAAAATGATTCTGAACACCCATGACAACTGGAATGTGTCTGCCCTTAATGCTCTCTGCAATGAGTCGCGTCAGCTTGTCCTTGCCTCGAGGATTAAGATGCAAACCATGGACAGTATGTTTGCTCCTCAATAGTGAAGAGACATCAATCGCATCAATGTGGGCTGCGCCGACCTCCACAAGCGAACGCTCAAGCCGAAGATTAATCTCCCTCACACACCTGTTAATCCATGGCTTGTCATGTCGCCAGAAAAGACCAACCTGTCAGGCTGGATTTCTTGTCCATGTCATCATGTGGTTTTGTTCATATTTTGAGGAACATGCATCCTCCATCTTCAGGGTTAGGTGTGTAGAGTGGACCCCATGTCAGTGGCCTTCCTGCCTTTCATCCAGAACATGTTCATCCTAATCAGCAGGGCATTTTTCAAGCATGAACCTCAAGGCGGTATGTGGCCTTCTCCTCGGGGATGATAGTCTGAGAGCTCTTGGCATGTATGGCATCCCTTGTGACAGATGTTCATTGGACACCCTGGTTATTCCATTGAGACCAGGGCTAAGGATCAGCACAATCACATCCAAGTCTGTGAGCCAGAGAAGTTGGCCATGGCAGAACACAGCATCCTGACCGAGAAATTCAGACAACTGGGACCAGATCATAAGGGAAATGATTTCATCCTAACAGCAAAAAGGAAAGGGATGGATACACCTTGAGCACATCATGGAAACCTCTTATCCAGTTCTTGAGAGAAAGGCACAAGGTTCCTTGGAAGGGCAAGATATTTCTTATTTCCTCCTAAGATGATACTCCTCTACACGGGTCCTTGAAAAAAGGGACAGTTTCTACATTTGACACTTCCTGTCTGCAGGTGAACTGTAAAGAGTAGTTGTTTCCCATTCTCAGCATTCCACCTTCCTTGAACTCATTATGCCATCTGCTTCTGCTGGTTTCTTGCGTGTGAATGCGATATTTCTTAATTAAAACAAATTAAGTTTCAATTAAAATTAATTAACATCTTATGTTTTCCATTGTGGTCATTTGTCCATTCATTTAAAGGACATTTACTAGAGAGTATTTCTCTTCATTGGATTTATTCAGACTGAATTCCCTTTGCAATGTGGGTATTATGCAAGCAAAATTTGTGTGGTTTGAGCACGTTGTGATAAGGAAGCGCAGGCCATGAGCAGTCATCTGCATGCAATGTAGGACACTGCAGAGTGGCAGGCAGCAGGTGGCAGCTGTGTAGCTGGCAATCCACACTGACGCGTCAGGAGAATTGCAGTATAAGCATCTGGCACTGAATGATCTGGAAGGCTGTATTAACCACAAATTGACTGACTGTGAATATAATTATTAAAAGAATGAGATACTGGTGCCTTATATGAGGGAGAGTCAGTAAATAGGTCACAAATGGATATAAAATGTAAAACGTGATATTCGAACCTGGAGAAAACATTTATTTCTGAAAATATCCTCCACCAATAAACTTGTCCCATTGCTTTACCAGTGCCTTGAATCCTCCAGCATAGAAGTCTTTTGACTGTTGTCTCAGCCACTACTGCACCGGGGCAACATGGTTGGGCATCATCTGCGACTTTCAAACGTCTTTGAGAGAATTTTTGTACCCTGTTGTGAACTGCTTTATGTTACATACACTTCCCACTGTAAACAGGAAACATTTCTTTGAGAATATGCTTTGCATTAAGTCTTTTTGCCCACAGAGAACTCTCAACAGAATGTTGTTCTTGTGTAGTAAAGTAAAAGTAAAGTAGAGTAAAGGTATTCCTGTAAACAGGCTGTGGAGGCTCATAAGGTTGTGAGATGTTGAGGTTCCCACACTTTCTAGACACTCAGCTCAAAGATGGCGGTAAGGTTGTCAGCCTTACACGCCAGCCACCCTGTACCCCCAAGAACATTCCAAGAATATTCCTGATACTCATTTCTGTTAGAGGCTGAGTTGACCCCAGGGCCATAGTGCGGCTGGAAGGATTAGGTAAATTGAAAAAAATCCAATGACCCCATCGGGATGTGACCTTCCGACCTTCCGGCTTGTCGCATAATGCCTCAACCAACTACGCTGGGTACTACACTCCTCAAACATGGTCGCCAATTTCACTACTGAAACCTTTCTCTGAACATGCAAGTCTGCTACCTAGAATATCATGAAGCTAGACTGTGCTCCTACCTAGTGATGCACATAGAAAATCTATTACGTCCATTACAGCTGTTTACTTCCATTTGTGACCTATTTACTGATTGTCTCTCATACATAATGCACCATGTTATGTAAGTAGCGTTAAAAGCGGAGTAGAAGGAGCGACAGAGACTACAGTATGCAATATCAAGTGGCAATTTCAATGGTTAAGTCTGTCCATGGGGTTGATAGGTACAGCATTCTAATAGCATGAAAATTACAATATATGGGAATCCTTTGGTCCCAGAGGAGGTGCCTGATATCGCAAATTTTACCCATACAGCTTTTTAAAATACTGCTTCTGCTGCTGCTGTCATTGGGCAAATTAGCTCTGGGGTACCCAGTTCAATACTTGACTGGGGTAGGGGCTATCATGGAAGGTTTTTCATTGTTTTTCTGCATTCATAAATGAGCCTGCCATCTGATTTTATATGTGATTGGGCCAGTGACTGTCGTTAAACAAACCATTATTAATATAGAGGTACTGCCATAACCACATTTGCCATGACTGCCACAAGCAGAGCCACCATGACAACCACAAACACAACATAGTGTGTGTTTCACAGTTCCACGCTGTACACCTTCCCACTTGTTCCTATACAGTATTCCTGTTGGCCTCTGGATCCATTTGTGATGGATGTGAGTGACCACCCTCTTTTCAACCTGACTATACATGTGTCCTGGGAGGAAAGGTCAGTATTCTGGGAAGTCATAGCATCATCCATCCTAAGCAAAAAGTGTCTATGTACATGTGTCCTATTCCAAACAGTTTCCGAGATAGAGCTATTTCACTGTACAGTCCCATAATTGTTATTAAGAAAGAGAGATTATGTACTGTTTCTAATACCGGTATTTATTGTTCAAGTGACAAAGTTGGTACAGTTTACTTAGTGTAATACATTTTCGAAAATTCCGCCGGCAACATCAATGCACTTTGTAACTCGTGAGAGGACATGGCATGTTGCTCATCTGTACAGTGTGCAGTGAAATAGCTCTATCTTGGAAACTGTTCGGAATAGGACACATGTACACACACACTTATTTTTTGCTTAGAATGATCGATACTATGACCTCCCAGAATATTGCTCTCTCTTTCTGGGACATTCTATATAATGTGACGTCACCACACTCACTCTGACCCTGAAGATGGACGCTGCATGTTCCTCTGAGACATCGATATTTGTGTACGGTATGTCATGGTGTCATAACCCAAAAGTCCATAATGTGAACACTCACTGCTGTTAGGATCCGAAGTGAAACTTTTGAAATCATTTTGTAAGAACTGGACATACGATGAGCAATAATATTTTCTTACAGTCGTTATCCATACTCCTGCATGCCCCAGAAAAGGAAGTGAATGGTCTAAGAAAATTAGTTGCAACTATCGAGTCTGTTGCTCTGAAAACAAAGTCTGAATCTGAACCAAGGGTTGCATTCCGAGAGGATGGGAAAACTGCGTTTGTTGAGTTCCTGTCCTGTTTTGAAGTTGGAGGTCCATCACAGGAATCATCAACAATCAGTCTTAAGGAAAACATCTCTGAAGACAAACTAAAAAGAAATAGTAAGTTTGTACTTTTAACCAGCCTAAATACATGGTTTGAGAGCAGTATTCATCTGGGACCTGATAAAGAAGAGTTTACAGGAGGAAGGGACCTACAGCATAATGTGGGCACCAAAATTCAGGTGAGTAAGGGCCCTGATGCCCTTCAAATTTTCAAAATATTCATCTTCTGTAAAAGTGAAAGTTTCAGTCTTGAGGTAAGTCCAAACATAGGTCTAGCCACAGTAAATTAAGAATCTTCTGCATGAGTGTTTTACACTGGGATCACCAGGTATGCAACTGGCAGGATTATCAATTGAAGGACATATCATTACTCACTGTGAAGAGACAAGAACAAACACTAGGTGACCAGTTATATGATGCGCTATTAGACAATGAATTATTTGACGCTACCTTGCATGTGCGAGCTCATCCCTGTTCCTACATTATTTGCCCAAGATGAACGGAAGCTACTTTATGAGTAGCTCTCATATTTCTGCTTCACTCTCATGCACTATTACTATCTTCTCCCATTTATTTATATATTTATATGTTCCTGTTTTCTGCCATTGTTCTTTATTCTTGCATCCTCCTAGCCTCCTGATAGCTGTTACTGCATCAATATTTTGAAATCTCTTGTCCACAGTCTTTTCCTTCCAGATCTTTGTTCCTTCACATCACAGTATGTGGCTCCATTCTTTCTTTTTGAAGCATATGAGGCATATACCCTGTTCAGAGTCTTTCCTGACCTTGAATCTTGAATCCTCTGTTTTCCACCATAGTGTTGGTCTTGTGGTTTCCCTGTACGTGTATCCATTCATTTTGTTATATTACCTTAGAGATTTTTCTAGTTTTTAGAATACCGGACAAGAGACAAAATCCGAAAACCCAGTAACTCTTAAGTATAATACTGTTTGTTATTCTGTGGCAGGTGAAATGGTGTATCAGGGAACATTGTACAGTGATACCAAAGTGGAGGACTGGAAAAAGGCAGCTGCCAAGAGCCATATTGAGCCAGCTCATCTCATGCAGCTGGCTCTTCATTTCTGGCTTCAGAAACGAGAAGGAGCAGCACTGGAAGCGGAGATGCTGCGTTTCACTGAGCTCTTGAAAGCCATCTGCTCACTCACAGGTTCTCAGTCTTATATATTGGGTTTGATGAATAGCCAGGCTGGTTCTCTGAAAGAGGAAAGATACATTTAAGAGTTGCTAACATGTATTGAGGGGTCTTGTTGTAGCTTGGATGGTGAGTTGCCCACTTCTCAGCATAGAAGTTTCTGTTTAACCCCATAGTAGTCTATATGGAGTTTGGTTGGCAGTGTGCACTGAGGATGATTTTTCTCTAAGTAGTGAACTATGTGTTAAAATGATAAACTGACATACAGTTTGTAATTTTCAGATGTAAACGTGATATGTGCAGAGTACAATGGGCTATCGTCATGGTGGCGTGATGTGCGCCGCATTCTTACAGATTCAACAAATCCATTCATGGCATTAACAGCGGCCATAGTCTGCAGAGCTGTGGCTCTTTCAGTGGAAAAGGTTAAAGAATCCAATGTAAGCATGTATACATGGTAAGATCTGAAATTCGTATGGTGATGAAAATGTAGATTTTGGTCTTCTGAATTGTGACACTGTGGTCTTGTAGTTGGGTCATAGAAGGGTCTTCTGCTCTGAAGACAGCAGTCGAATCTGCCTCTGAAACATTAATAAACACAAGAATATGCAGTGTTGGGCTGAGCAAGTTGACTCAGGCAGTAACAATCTTGACTTGATTTGCGAGGCGCTGAACTCGAATCTTAGCCCGGAAACCAAGCAACTATCATTTTTGTACCTTCCAGACATGGTGGTACGGTACCTTGAAGTGGGCCTTAACCACTGCCTTCCCCATCTACCCCTATTCGTAATTAATTATCCTATCATTTGGCATTGTATAGTATAAACTGTTATCATTCTTGCTAAATGAACCGATATAAATACAAGGGAGAGTCAGTAAATAGGTCACAAATGGATGTAAAATGTAGAACGTGACATTCAACCTGGGAAAAACTTTTATTTCTTGACATCCTCTACCAACATTGATACACTTGGCCCAACACTTTACTAATGAGTTGAAACCCGAAGCACAGAAGTCTTTTGACTGTTGTCTCAGCCAAATCTGCACCTCCCTTTCATCATCTGAGAGTTTTACTCTTCAAGAACAATTCTCAATCCAGCTGTGAACTGCTTTTCACTACAAACACTTCCCACTCTAAACAGGAAACATTTCTTCATGAATATCCTTGGCGTTGAGTATTTTTGCCCACAAAAGAACACACAACAGAACACTGCTCTTCGGTATTACACTCTTCAAGCATGGTCACCATTTCGACTACTGAAAGCAGCCTCAGAAGCTGGACCGTGCTGCTACCTAGTGATACATATAGAAAACCTATTACATTCGTTACAGCTGTTCTACTTTCATTTGTGATTTATTTACTGACTACACTGTAGCATTGGAACCTTAAATATTTAAGTTGGCATACACATTCTTAACCTACCATATGAAAAATCCTTTAATATATTTCTTAAACATTTTTTAAAAATACTTTTATTATTTTTTTAATAATATATTCAACACATTATAAATCTTGATATATGATATACCTTTATATTTATCTTTAATTTTATTTATGTATTTGCTACTTTAATTATAACACCAACTTGAAGCAAAAGTTTTATATTAGTATATATCACAATGTATTGCACTGATATGGATCCGTATTGGTGCAACTGCCTGATGATGGTCTTGTACAACCGAAACATGTAGCAGCAATAAAGACCGAATATTAAAACTGAGTATATTTGTTGTGTTGACGGTTGACATGATTTATATATATATGGAAAAAAAACAACACGATGCAACCAATGAAGATTATCTGGAACTTTTCGTATAGAAACTTTTCTCAGTTTGGTGTCTATTTAAAGAGTACAGTGCAGTCACACTTTATGCAAATTTCAAATAGTGCAGTATAAAAAGAACATTAATAAAATCCAACTTTATGTTTAAAGTTTTAAATATTCCTGCAAATGCAAGAAAATTCAGTTGGAATTATGTATCGGTATGTGTTATCCCAGCCGGTCTCAGTAGCTGAGCGGTCTAAGGTATGCACTGTCTTCGCTCGCTCAGAAGTTGGGATTGTGGGTTCGAATCCCACTCAGGGCATGGATGTTTGTGTGTGTTTTTCTGTGTTTGTCTACAGGTAGAGGCCTTGCGATGAGCTAATCACTTGCCCAAGGAGTCCTACCGAATGTGTAAGATCTAGTAAACCGAAGTGAAACGGAGAGTTTCATGGAGGTAGGCCTAGGCCCAAATTGGGGCTGTAGTGCCACAGAAAAAGAAAATGTGTTATCCCTGTGAGAAAACTTGTCTTGAATTATGCAAGGTCTTCAGGACAGTATCCATGCATAACAAGCGACTACACAGTGCATATAGAATGTGTTTTAAAGTATTTAAGAGCCCTGCTGCAATGAATTTTGATCACAGGTTCTTGCACATGACATTTCAATGCCAAATGGAGGACCAGGAGATGCAGTTTCATTGCAGCAAGAATCATCTGCTGTATCACCAGATGATGAAACTCACAGTTCGACAAGTGAGTGGGAAAATGTCTCTCATGATACGTGCCAGTGGAGCTTGCTGATTGGTCAGTTGGAAGATGTGGCCCTGTTGGACTCAGTATTGAGGTAAAGGAATGTCTTCTGTTGAAATGTGGAGTTTTCATAGTCATGAAGATTCATGTTGTGGTCTTCTGGGTTGACATGGTACAGTCTGGTAAGGGGGTACTCGTGTTTGGAGGAACATACCACTTCTGAGGCTTTTCTCCAAGATGCTTCAGCTAGGTATCAAATACATCGAGAAGAGAGGAACAAGCCGGCAAGATAAGGAAGGGAAAAGACAGTGGGAAAAAGAAGAAGTTGGAAATTGTTATTCATTGACTCATGTAAAAACAGAACAGTGATAGAGGAAGAATTTGTTTGTTGGGGGGGGCCAGTATTCATACTGTAATCGGCAGGTGGGAGGATGATGAGATGCATGTTTCTCTGAAGTGTTGGTGCCTGCCAAACCTTAACCCAGAAGACTGCAAGACTGCAGTGTGAAATGTCTTCTGTTCTCAGGCAGTGAAAATGCAAAATGTCATACCAGATTTCTTTGATTATGCATGACATGAAATGTGTCATGCTGTTATTATGTTGCCAGTCTGTCTTTACCCTCCTACCCGTTATCCTGTCACTTCCTTGTTTGAAATGGTTCCCATTTTTTTTGTCTATGACCGTCTGATACATAGTCATAGAAATGATGTCCAGGACTTAACTAATGTCATATCTTTTTACATATGGATCAGTCCCTAAATTCTGTAGTTTTAATGAGTGAAGCAACTTTGATGATCTTTGTCATCAGTTCCAGTTAACATAAAATCAGCAAATGCGACACATTTTCAATGATTTGAATTTTATATGTATGGAATCTTTGGTGCTTATTCAGCACATCTTAGGTATACCAAGTTCTGAACTGTGATAAGTGATAAATTTTTTGGGTTCGTTGTACAAAGTTCTGATTCATTTTAACTGAGTAAACCACCAAGTAATTGATTTGTCAGATATTTCTGTTCTGTATATATGTCAAAAATTACACCGAACTGTCACATTTTACTTGAACACAGCCTACAACAGCACACACTGAGCTTTCTGTTGTATGGATGCCATCTCGCTCTTCAACTGACTTGGGCCAAACGTTAACATGAATACCACTCTGCAACCCGTAATGTGCATCCACAATCCTTGTGACACTAGTGTTGTGCAGGACAATGAGGAAATAACTTTGATAGCTTTTACATACTCCAGTGTGAATGTCACGAGCATATGTGTCAAATTTACGCGCATATTAAGCAGTGAAATCCAAGAATTTTTTAGTGAACTTATACAGACTGGTTGTCCCAGGAGGAAAGGTCAGTATTGTGGGAGGTCATAGTATCTGTTCTAAGGAAAAAGTGTATATGTACATGTGTCCTATTCCGAAATTGAGCTGTTTCACAGTACAGTTCCAAAATTGTTGATAAGAAAGAAATATTAGTACATACTGTTTCTAATACTGATATTTATTGTTCAAGTGACAAGGTTGGTACACTTTATCTAGTATAAGACAGTTTCAAAAATTCCACCGTCAACAGCAGTGCTCTTTGCAACTTGTGTGAGGACATGGCGTGTTGCTTGTCTGTACAGTGTACAGTGAAATTGCTGTATCTCGGAAAGCATTCAGAATAGGACCATATACATATTCACTTTTTTGGATTAGAATGGCTGATACTATGACCTCCCAGAATATTGACTTTCCTCCTGGGACATTGTATGTGCAATAAAGAACGATATGAAAATAATATTAGATTTGAGGTGCTCATAATGTTGAATATTAAGACTGAAATCTTCTGGGATCTGATCCCATGTAGTCTGGTAGGTGATTACCAGTGTTTCAGAGGAACCCATGATCATCATCAGAGCAGAAACACTTTACCCTGTAGATGGAAGGAGTATGTTGCTCGAGACAGTGGTACCCATCTACCAGTCTCTGCGATGTCATAGTCCACATGACTACAATATGAATCTAAACGTCCTTGAAAGTCTCGCATATTGTGATGCTTCACAGTGCATTCTGGAAAGTTCAGTGTGGGAGAAATGTCTGCTCCCCTTCGCTATGTAACTAATGTGGAAATTGTAATAGCTTTCAGATTAGACCAAGGGCAGTGAGACAGATGCAAGCATGAACTTTCTTTGAATCTTTTCTTCAGTCTTGTTTCTATAGTGATTTTTCTTTTCTTTGAGGTCTCATAGAAATTGAACAGGATGAATTTTAAGATGATGTAAACATAAGGGGTCCTCCATGTTGGGGTTAGACGCAAGGCTGATGGCCTCCCTCTGTAAGAAAATTACTGTTGCATTAGTCATTAGTCTATTTGTACCTGCCCATGTTGGTTCTTCGCTTGTGGATTTTCTTCTTTTTTCTTCTATCCTGAAGATGGAGGCGATACGTTCCTCCGAAACGTCGGTTAACACAATATCTACATGGCGCCACATCCCAGAAGACCACTTTCTTCATAATCACCGCCGTGAAAACCTCAAATCTTAGAATCATGGTTTTGATTATTTTGTAGCATGTGGTACTACATTCACCTTGTGTGGTCAGTGTGAGTCTGAGATACAGGAGCCTGATGCATGCAAGGCAATGGGTGACTTGTGCATAAGCATTGTGCTCACATGTATATTCTTTCCAGGCAGAAACCAACACCAGTAGAGGGGGGTGCAGTTCCAGTATCAGGCAGACCTCAGCTGTTCTGTTGCCCTTACAGCAGGCCTGCAGTGTCACTTAGCTACCTTCTCAATAAAGGAAAAGGTAATTCGCAATTGAACACTTTTCTTTCAAACCTGAATCTTTGTGGTTGATAGTTGAGAAATGCAATCAGTCCATCAACTGTGAACAGTGAATGTAATAAAACGACGTAAAAGAATAATACCAGCACAGTGCCAATGCAACTATACTTTTAGACCAAATATGTACAACATGTTGCAACAAATTTTCAGCCTCCAAGGACAGACGCTTGGAATTTAACTGTTAATTCTAGTCTTTTAATTAAATCTTCTGAACTACACAGTATTATGACTTAGAAGATCATATGCTTTAGGTACCATCTTAGAGAATGTGGATATCAAAAGTGTCTTGTGTTGGGACATGTTCATGTTAATGTCAGGCATCATGGAACGGGAGATAATGCATAAGGGCTTGAGAAATTTGAATGGAAAATTATTAAAAACAAAGTACATCAGAAGCTCCTAACCTTAGTAACTCCAGTCGCTAGGCACAATAGATCACTGTGGTCGTGGTGCAAGGGCCAAGAAGGCCCATCCCTTATACATTCATACATTTAACTCAGTCATTCTGGATTATTATTATTATTATTACTATTATTGGAAGGGGTGAGTTTCCCCATGCACCATGACCAGTTTGATCTATCGTACGTCCCCCTTTGATATTCTACCAGTCTCTATACCCTACCGGTACTGGTGCATGCCATCAGCCCCGACTCAGCCAGCGAGTTCGGCCTCTACTGGCTCAGTGGTACCTTGATGCTTCCCCCATCTACCAGAGGTGTTAGAAACTACTGTTGGGCGGGAAATGTCCTATAATTTGGCTCAGAGGTCTCCTTGAGACATGAGGTTCCTTTATGTGCCGTAAAGCTACGACACGGGACCCACTGCTTAAAGTCCCTTCTGGAGGACTTGTTCCCTGAATTTTCCACCCTTAAAAATTCCACGACCTCCTCCGGGTTTGAACCCGCATACCTTGAGTCATGAGGTGGGAACGTTACCCCTAGACTACGGAGGCCGCTGTCGTTCTGGATACTTACATTTATACAAAAACACTGGACTTCAAAGAATAACAGTATGTGCTAGGTGATGCTGCCACCTGGAAGAAGTTTTGCCAGCAGCATTGGACATTAAAACACTGGCTCATGGATGCCTTCCGCTGCTTCTATTTGTAACTACTATGAATTCTGGCTGCAACATACATAACAAGAGTATAGTAAGTGTTAGCCTTGTATATATGAGGATTACTTGTGTTTCCAGACTTGTTGGGCACCATGTATGCTGAACAATTCAGGTTTTGTTAGCTAGAACTTTGTAATATATCTGACTTTATAGAGTAACATGTGGTAGTTACGCAGTTTCTGTTTCACTGTAGGTTCAGTCTCAGAGCTAGTGGCTCGTTGGCTCAGTTCAGCAGGACTCGACCCTGACAGATTAGTGGACCTGTCTGATGTTGAATTTGATAATTTAGAGGAGCGTGAACGGCATCCTGAAGAAGGCAGTTTCAGGAAGGCTGCATCTCTAGATATCAAAGAGGGAAGTAAGCTAGAAGTGGAGCAATGTGCAGAAGCCGTACCCGCAAATGAGCATGAATCTAACATACTGGGTTAGTATATGTAGCAGCTCTGTCTGTCTTTCTTGGGTTCCAAAATATTGGTACGCTTACTTGAAATGAGAATCTGAACCCTTGATCCTTATCATACAGCAACAGGGTATTTAAAATTTCATGGCTCTTTGGGGTGGATAACTGTATTTTAATTCATGTAAAGGTAAAGTTAGCCCTGTAATGGGCCATGGAGACCCATAGGGTTGTGGGACCTCAAGGTTGCCACATTTTTCTAGATACTTAGCTCACAGATGGCGGTGATGCTGTTAGCGTTCTGTGCTGGCCGCTCTTTACCCTCTGGAAGATTCCTGGTACTCATGACTGTTACAGGCTGAGTTGACTCCAGGGTCACAATGCAGCCGAAAAAATTAGATCAATTCAAAAATCCAATGACCTCATAGGGAATGGAACCTGTCATCATCTGGCCTGTCACATAGTGCCCCAATCAACTATGCTACTGCATGCCCTAACACGGGTAATATTTTATCATCTGGAAATAGAAAATTTTAAATCTGAAGGCTATATTTTAACTCTGATAACAAAATATTGTGTGGGGGTAGAAGATTTTAAATCTTCATGTACTAAGGGGCTGAGGGCTGGATTCTGACTCAAGGGTAACAGTTTATCATCCAGAAATAGGTTATTTTACATGCCCTAGTGGTATGGGGCTGTCTACAGGATGCTTTTATAAAATTTCATAAAGATGAGCCATCCTGGTTCAAAATTGGGAATGATAAACACACACACATAGCATGATGAATGTGTAAGCCTTGAGAAAGAAACATAGGCTAATGAATAGTGGCGTAGCATATGAGAACATTATCACTGAACTCACATAAAGTTACAGTGCCACTGCAGCAATCTTTGCCATCTTCAGACTGATCGAGTAAGAAATGACTGGTGATTTGTGTCATTTTGGGCAAGAGCCAGCATCAGAATATACAGTTAACTGATAAGATGAGGTTGCCACAGAATAAATATACTTCTATTAGCGAAGATTAATTTTTTCAGCTAACCTGGGCATTCTGAAATGCCACTTTCCATACAGTTTGTCGTCAAGTATTCTCTTAGCCAATTTGTGTTGGGAATTCTTGTTGGCATGGCATCGCAGTGTGGATGATCTGAATGCTCTGTGTGCCGCAGTGAAATGTCTACAAGCAGTTCCATCCCCTCGTCTGAAAGAAGGTAAGATGCAGATTAGCTGTTTGAGGTTCATTTTCCTTTACGCTGTGTGGGCCCCACTATAATCAGTTATACTTTTTTTGTTTCTGACTAGTCAGATAAATTGCTAGAATCCAACTGGACTGGGTACAGTGTATGATTACAACAGATACATTAAAAATCCAGCCTGAATTATGTGTAGGACTTCAATGAAAAATTTAATAAGCCAATTGTTTCCAGGTAAGGAACAGAGCAGAAAATTTAAAAAGCCAGACAATCCAGGTAAAGACCTAAAGGCATTGAATAGTGTTAATATTAGTGGTGATCATGGTGGTGGTGGCTGCAATGTTACACCCATGCTAGAAGCTTTCTACGAGGAAGAATCAGCACTTAGGTCACAAATGGATATAAAATGTGAAACATGTGAAATTTGAACCTGGAAAGAACATTTGTTTCTTGATATATCTCCCACCAACATCGATACACTTGTCCCATCTTGTTACCAGTGTGCTGAAACCCACAGCATAGAAGTATTTTGACTGTTGTCTCAGCCACTTCTGCACCTCCATTTCAACCCCTTCATCATCAGAGAAACATTTGCCACCAAGGTGGTTTCTTAGCGGACCAAACAGGCTTGACAAACATTTCTTTATAAATATCCTTTGCTTTTAGCCCACAGAAAATGCATAAAGAACCTGCTCTTTGGTAGTACAATCCTCAAGGATGGTCCCCAATTTGACTACTGAAACCAGCCTCTGAACATGTGCATGCTGGACTGTGCTGCTACCTAGTGCTACACATAGAAAACTGATTATATCCATTACAGCAGTTTTACTTCCATTTGTGGCCTATTTACAGACTCCTTCATATGTTCCTCTTCAACTGCGTAGCCATTCTGTCGATATGAATGTTAGTCATGATAACCATTTGATAATCATCAGTTGCAGTAATCATATTGGGCTGGCTGGTATATGCCAGAGGGGGCCGAGGGAATAAGGAAGGAAGCATGAAGCCCTATCATCCCCACCATCCATGCAACTTCTTCCAGAAGCCTGAGTGTGCTACAGATTTGAGCTGCCTGAAGTTTCACACATGATATCACAGTTTTACACTGATATCCTAACTAACTCCATGTTCTGTGGTATTTCTTTAGGTTCGATAGTTGCTTAGCTGGTCAAGTTCCACCTATTATGGTAACCAAGATTCATTGCTCTGTTCAAATTAGCCCTTTGAAACCATTTTATACCTTTGCACCCTGTCGAAGTGAAATCTGTTTGGCCGTTCTTCTGGGTAGGGAATAGAGGCTGTTAAAAATGGGCCTCGTGGGCACAAGACAAGCATCCCATTTCTGCACCAGAAATTGGATCTACAGAGACATCTCTGTCTGAACCAAATCTCTGGTACTTTGGCTCCCACCTGATGGGGCCAGGCACGTGTAAATTGCAAGGAGACTGGTCTGGGCTTCATGAGGGACGATCCACCACTTTCCAGTGCATGGGGAGGATCATGTTCTGAGTAGTCTATACTATGTGGGGACAGATGACATGCACCATGATCACACTTTTTATGAGCAGCTTGTTGTCTGCATCTTCCGGTTTTTCGCTTGGCTATCTCATGGAGGTGGTAATTCCTTCAAAATGTAGGGCAGATTGTAAACTACATGGTGTTGTAATCCAAAGGACCTTATTCATCATAGACACTGCTGTGAGAATCTGTGATCACTGATTTCTCATGTACTTCATGCATGCTACACATGATGCCTTTCTCATCCCCTTAATTTAACCCTTTTCCTACCTCCTGTCAAAGGGCTTCAGACCGTAATTTTCCAGTTCACATCTGTCAGAAGCCTTCATCCACCAGTTTATGAATTTATTGTGACATAATTGTTTGCTTAGTGTTATGTCTTTACCCTTTACATTTCCTGGCGTCTCTTTTAGTAGTTTGCATATGGAAACAATAGATGGCAAGAATTGTGCATATGAAATAGTGCTTTTTTTATTTTCTTGCAAATTAATTCATAGTTGGTATTGTGAGCCTGGAAATAAGAAAGATGGTGAGTTGTTAATAACCATGATAATGTTATGTAGAACTGCACAAATTGTGAGACTTTTCACTGTATAATATTCTTTATTCTCCTCCTAGTTTCTCCTGCTTAGGTCAAAATATTGTCTTGAATACTTACTCTCAAAAATCCCCAGTCTGACTTCTGCTATTGGTGTACGAGACGAAGAGATTAATTTACAGTTTATGCATTTTAATGTTCGGTTTTTCATTTAGGCGCTCAATTGCAGGTATCAGAAAGAAGGGATGGAAATTCTGCTTTCATTCATATTTTTTATATCTTGTGATTTCATTTTGAAGGTTTTTTGACATACATTTCCTTATGGTTATTTGAAATGGCTGCGTGTTTGCGAGATAAGCCTCCTGTAGTGTGTGTTATATTTTTTCACTAGGACTAAGCAGCCTGATGTGGAAGATGCACTTAGGACCGAGGTTTGAGTCGGCTGCTCGTCTCTTTCAAAAAGTTGGTAAAATTCCTAAGGAGCGGCTCTGTAAACAAGATATTGGAATATCAGATCTAGAAATGTTTTCCTTTTTGGAAACCTGTGTGGACTTCTTGGATATTTTTGTGGAAGTAAGTATATTAGTAGCACTGGCAAGACAAGAGGGAAGGATGAGGGTTACTGTGCTGAGTCTTCTGGAATATGGCACTGCATAGCTTGATATATAGGTACCACATTTCAGGGGAGCCTCCTTTCTCCATCTTTATATCTTGAAGATGGGGGCATCTAGTTGTTGCAACATTTGATGTCACATGCAGCTACTTACAATAGCTGCTGAAGAAATTTGGAAGAAACACAACCAGCTGGATGAGCAACTCATAGGCCTGTGAAGTATGCCATTGAAAACAGGCAAAGCAGTGCTATACCCAAACCAGTTACCTACTTGGTTTTTGGCTTTGTTTGCTGCTTAATTATTGCTCTGACTCTGCATATGGAGACAGTGTGAACTGTTGGTGAACTACCATACTACAGATTATCATGACTCAGAAGGTAGTACATTTCATATTAGTTACCGCTGTGAGAACCTCAAATCTGTTGTAACCATTAACTGGTATGCTTTTGTAGTACTAGTCAAGTCCCCATTGCTAAGTTTACTCTACACATTTTATAACTTTTTGGGACTGTTGTTAGCTTAGGTGACTCTGCATGATACATCATCACTGTCGCTGACCTGACTGTGAACTCAGCCCATGAGGAAGCCTATACCGCTGCTCAGTATAGTATTCCTCAGCAGTAAACCGATTCTTAGCATGATGTAGTAATGAAAGGGCTAATTTGAGAAACATATCTGGCTGCAAGAAGATTAAAAGTTACCGGTGTTAGATGAATCAATAAATAATTCATATTAACTAAGATTATTGTCTTCTGAGTCATGACACCATGCAGTCTTATCAGACCTGCTGCCTCCTGAAGATGTTGCCAACATACTGTTTCAAAACATTGGTATACACTGATAAGATTATAAAGTGTCATGACACAGAAGACCATGGTCTGAACTGTCACAGCCATGGGAACCTCAGATATTACTCCAAACAAGTTAAACTAGGATAGTAATATAGCCCGCACCTGAAGGTATGAGGGTCGTCCAGAAAGTAAAGACCATCTGAACATAGCACTTGCACAGATCAGTGAATTGCACCATTTCAAGGTTATCACACCTCAGTAATCTTTTAGTGACACGCTAAGTGAATTACGTGCTGATTCTATCACTTTGTGTTTTTCTTTGTGGTATTTAAAAGTGAGTAAGAAAACCCAGTATCATGCTGATTGTGAAGTGCGAGCTGTAATTCAGTTTTTGAATGCACAAAATGTCCATTAGATTGAAATTTACCGTCAACTTATTGCAGTGTATGGGAACTCCTCATGCAAGATGTTGGCAGCATTAAGGCTCCCACACACAGACGCGATACGATTCGGGACGATATAGCACTCGGGACGAGAGCGGCCGTTTACCGAGTGGACCGCGCACACAGCCGCGACACTCGGGAACTCGGGAATCTTTGACACCCGATAACCAGCTGGCCATAACTCACACTCAATCAGTATCTATACGTAAGTGAAAAGACATGGGTAACCAAATGGAACAAATAATAGAGTTCGTCAAAGAAAATGCTTTATTGTACGATACTCATCGTCCGATGTACAAGGATTCACGTGCTAAGGATAGAAAGTGGAAGGAATTGGCTGTTAACAATGAACAGAGACAGCAAGTAGAAAAATCTGTATATATTTATATAGGGTTAAGTATACAGTAACTGTGGGCATTCTTAGTGTAGGCTATGCACCAGTTCCGTTCACTAACATGAATTCCAGGGGCAGTCATCTAGTTGAAGTACGCAACAACCCGCTCTCTAATGGCGTAGCTAACGTTTGCCGCCCTTGGGAGACGTAAAGGCTGGATAGGGAACATTTCTCCTTCCAGTGGCTCCACTCGTAGCAGTTCTTCCCTGTACTTTTCATCACGGGTTTTGAGACGTAGAAAATTATGAAGCAAACACGCTGCTGATACAGTGTGTTTTATATTTCCTCCTTTCAGTTCTATAGGTCTCAAAAAAAAATCCTCCACTTAATGGCAAGAATAGGCCTCCGGCAATTGGTGTATTGTTTAGTGATACCTTCTTGCCCGATGGCTCTCAGGATTTCATCAAACCTGTCAATTTTCATCCTGAAATATATGTAGAACCGTTTTTCGTCCTTCAGGAGTTGAGGTATCAATGTATAAAACTCCCTTAGTTCCTCTCTTGACAAGTTTATATCATGAACCCAAGTGATTCGTCTCTTTCGCCTAAATACGAACACACATAGCAACCACTTATACATACTTAATTAGAGACTCGTTATGGAATTGTAAATATTTGTACATATATATGACATACTGAATATGTGGAGGAAAAGAACTACGCAGATTTAGTGTTCAGTAAAATACTTGCCGGGATTCACCTTCGTCTTCATCAAGAGCGACAGCTAAAAGCAAAACTTCTTCCTCCAAAGACGGATCCATGACTATTTACCGCTGCGATACCGAGCGGTCTACCGAGTGCGCTCGGTAGACCGAAATACCGAGGCGATATACCGACTGCGATAATATCGCGTTCCTCGGAGTACCGCGCCAGTGTGCGGACCTCCATTTACCGCAATGTAATTAGATATCGTCCCGTACCGTACCGAGCTGAGTATCGCGTCTGTGTGTGGGAGCCTTTACATGCTTGTCATACGGAGTGTGCAGAGTGACCGCATGTGGACACATCATGTCTCTCCATAAGTCCACATGTGTTGTATGACACTACCAACCAGGCACATGTTTAATTTCGGATCCTGTTGGTCTAATGTAATACTGAATTTATATGAGCAATGAGAGAAGATTTATATAAGCACAGATGCATTTCTTGAAGAGGATTGCTTGGTATATCCTTTCAGACTGTAAAAGACATGAAGAAATTATGAGAGAACTCTAAATTCCACAAATAATAGACTTTGTAAGACAGTGCAAAGGAAGCTGGAGAGTGCATGTTGACAGGATTCCAGAAAGGAGTGGGGACATCTCTGTGAGTGATGGTAGGGATTCTGTTTTGTAATATCCATAACAGGTCGCAGTGGGCCTAATATGAGAAAGGGTGATGGTGGTGATAACGTGTAAAGTAAAGGCAGAGGTCAAGTTATCCTTTTGTTAAACCCCATGCCATGACATATGGAAGAGTTAAGGTATGGATCCACATATTCTTAACCTCAACACTAAATAAGAGTCGTGTGATTAACTCTATGCCCCATCACTTTATCTCTGAGGAATGAGGCCCCTGGATAGGATGCTGGGTAGGCCCTAGAGCCGGTCTGGATGTTGCAGAGAAGAGAAAAATCACTTGCCCTTGCTGGAAATTGAACCCCGATTTCCTGACCAGCGAGCCCATAGCTCATTGCATTGCCAAATGAACTGTCCCAATGATTACGTGAAATCCAAATTAAATATTATCATGCAAGAAGTTGGCACACAATACAAAGTATGTATTTTATTTAGAACATATTTGTCACATTCATAAGAGAGCTGCAGAAATTTGTAGAACATGTAGGGTTAAGTGCAGTATATATTTATGTTCTTGTTTAGTTAAGTATTGGTTTTTCATTGTAACAGGCAAGCTTAGTGAGTGCAGCTGAAGCACCGCTCGACATCACTCGGCATGAAGAGCTCTGGAACTGCGGAGGGTCAGGTCCACCGTCATTAGTTGAGTTGGCTCTTTCACAGCCTACAGTTAATTACGATTTGCTGCATCTGCATTACCAGTTGGCTGTGGCATTGCAGATGCTGACATTGTTCACCATGCGCTTCCCCCGACCCATCTCATCTCTCTTTGATAATATGGTACGTGTCGTAGTTTAAATCTTATGTCATTTAGTGACCATTGTCAGCCATGTGTTGCATGCTTGTAGCCGTACCACTGACAGCACCAGCTTTATGTCTAATCAAGATTTCTTTTTAGAGTAATTAAGTATAGGATGTAGTCAGGAACATTCAAGGCTGACTTAGCCCGTTTCTTGGTTTCAAGAATAGGGCCTGCTTCACTGCTACAAAGACCAGGCAGGAAGCACCCCGCAGAGTTTTCCTGGAAATTCAGTTCGAAAGTTGACCAGCGGGATCCTTTGGTAAAGTTACGCTTGACAGGTTTTGAACCCCGTAAGTCAAAAGTGGGAAGGCCAGCAACCCACGCTACTGGTATAATTTTTCAAGCAACTGTCAAAACGACATTAGGACTTTAAGGTCCAAAGTTCCAAATTAAGGCTAGGTGATTGGAGCAGTGAGAATTATGGTTAATTCCCCAAATTCAAATTGTTCCAATCAGCCGAAATTAGGGTAGTAACTTGGAGGCGGAGCTGAAGCTGTGAAGATTTCTTGCTTTGAAGCAAGGTCAGTCTGCTAAGGGAGTCTCTCAACAACACTCCAAGTGTGCAGTCAAAACATTAGCGTCACTGAATAACTCTGCAAAATTTAATGTGAATACTTTGTCTTAAAAGTTTAAGTGAAAGTGAAATTACTTCTGTGTGTTGTGCTAAAAGAAGCAGTCACTAAATAACTAGCCAGAGATCCGGTCGCCAATGTTTGAGCGATTTCAAGTTGGTTTAAGGGATTAAGGACAAGTGCTGTTACATGTACATCAAGAACTGCTCATTAAACAGTGTTTGGTAGTGCCTAGCCATAAACACTCTTATCCTTCCCGCTGATGCGAGGCCCGTACGCACCCTGAGACAGAATCTCATCGCTCTCGTGCGAATGCAGTACCTACCACCTGTAGTTTCCGGTTCATCCTCCCTTTTTCCTGAAATGTAAGCCTTTATAGTAAGCTTACTGGCGCCCAGCATTCAGTTAACCCATATCCCGCAAACAGTTACCCACAACAACAAAAATGGAAGCAGAAACGGATAAGAAGGACGCAGCAGCAACCTGCAAACTCGGAGTACCAACAGGTGAGAGGGAACGGCTAGAGGAGCAGCTGCAACCAGCAATCAAGGGGCCAAAAGGACGGTAAGAGAAGGAAGGTGGCACCAACGTAAAGAGCAAATGGTTACATGCTGTGATGCTGTTTTTCTCGATAGTAATCCTGTTACACCCATGTCAAAACATGGCTGCCAGGTTTGTGGTACCAGGAGATTTCAGGTCCCTGTACCCAGATGGAACATATTAATTCAGTGATTCCCAAAATGTGATCTACAGATTTCTGGAACTCTGTAAGGGTTCTATAGGTGAATTTGTATGTTGATCAACTTTGTGGTTGAGTTGTTAGCATTGCTTTATATGTAGGAGGTTCTGTGTTTGATTCTTGATTCATACGGTTTTTCCACATTATATATGTCAGCCTTTCCTTTCACAATGTTTCCTTTTCAGTTTCTTGCCAACTCTTTAGAGAACCTTTGGGTTCCGTAAGGTTCAGCGTAGTTCTTGACTGGCAGAGCAACTGTTAGCTTCTCAAAACGACCATGCTGTGTGGAGTTAATTAGTTTAGACAATTGGACAAGTTCTGTTTTCTTTCAGTGGCAAATGCAAAGCACATTCTGCAGTTATACTGCAACAGGACTAAGTGATATTGAAAGCCCTCTTCCTTTGAAGGTCATCATTGATGTTCAAGAACAAATGAATTCATAAGATTACCTTATTTATGTGTGTATGCACTGTAATATATCAAAATTATATTCTGTTCTTCAGGGTCAAGCAGCACTCTTTGCAGATTTGAGCTCACAGCCACAGCTGCCAAGCCATAACCCTGACCAGTCGCTTATCACCGCTCGAACTCGGTTCCTGTGTAGAGTCATTACTGGAGCCATGCAGATGATACAAGTGGAATGGGGTGAAAGTGGTCAAGATGATAAGGTACTTAATTCTGCAGATAATCATGGCAGTATTTTCTTTGGATGTTTTCCATTGTATGGATGAAGGATGCATATTTTGCACACCTAAAATAATGGGGCCACAGTTTAAAACAATAAATTTTTTTAGAAGTTTTGTTCTGTATATAAGTATATACATGTTTACTAGCTAAGGATGTAAACAGCTGTAAATGTGACCTAATTACAGAATTTTGAAAACAGTTTGAGCTTCCAGATGGTGCCATAAATGTTTTGTGTATATAAATTTGATGATACAGGTTACACTTGTATGATACACAGGGATTGTGTTTCTGAAGATCACTGTGTATGTTGCCAAAGAAAAAGAGGGAATAATTTGACATGTAAAGATAGAAGTTACATTCAAGATTAAATTAAAGATTAATATGGCTACTTTTCATATGTATTGTCACATGTGTGGAGTGACTATAGGTGGGTTTAGGGTTGATAATTGGACTTACTGAACTTATGAACACACAACACTTTACAAATCACTGGCACACACAGTCACGGTCTCCACTGGCCATTGCTTGGTAGCAGCCTCCAACAGCGGACATTCCCCTTCCTCTGGGTTCATGAATTGTCCCCATGCAGCAGTCCTCTGACTGGCTCACCAACCAACTCTTCATTTCAAATTATAAATCACTCCGTCCAATGTGACCGTAAGTTTTTTACTACATAAAAACTTAACACCCTTACATGTTTCGTTCTCTGTGGACCATCTTCAGAGGGCAAACATCACTACAAATAGGAAACCACTATCACATAATTTGTTTACACGCAAAGTACGTACACTTATATGTTACAACACACAGTACACAGAATAGAATATTTCATAAACACAGCAGTTTCCTGGGAATGTAAGTTTTAGAAAATTGTATAAAATTCCTTGATGCTAATTAAAAGTTTTTTAGATTGTCAATGATTAAAATTCGTAAACCATGCAGGCTCGTGTTCGTCCTCCCATCGTCTCTCTTATATGGGGCAGATATTGTGCTACCTGGCTATCTTGATGTGGAGGTTCTTTATATCGTCCAGGGTTTGCTCGTGGCTGCTGTGCTGTGAAAACAGCACAGCAGCCCTCTAATGTTGGCAGTGCGAACTGTGAAACTGTTGTGAGGTTATGTTATGCATTTAACTATTTAATATTATATGGAGCTCTTTGTAAATATGAACTGTTGATTTTTAAAAAATCAGTTATGAATAAGCATATTAAAAATAAATTAATATATGGTTTCGTGGGTGACCTATGAATACCTTGAATGTTTCCTAAAGAATGTAAAGTGTTCGCAATCGCTGCATGAGGGACCAAAGAAATGTTCATGTAGCATGGCATTTTAGTGTGCTGGAATGTTACATGTTGTTGGCTATTTGGTTGGTTGATTCCTGTAGTCACAAAAGTAAAAACTATCTTTGTAGCCATTTGGCATTAAAAAGCTGATACTCCATATGAATAACAATTCTAGATGTTTAAAAATTAATTGCTAGAAGCATAGTAACAATTAATTCATATACATTTTAATGGGTAAGCTGTTGCTGTCTTGAATAGCAATGACTTCAGTTGCATTTCAGCAGGAATCTGACATATGTATGATTATTGTATGGGACACCAAAATAATGTTCAGGTAAGATTGCCATATCTGTGTGCTTTGGTCAGTCACAATGGAGACCAGTTCCTTGCAGTTAGCGCAAACCATGAATAGAGCTTGATTATCACTTCAGGTGCCCAAATATATTGTAGGTTAATGAAGTGATGTATGTTTGTAGAAGTCTACCTCAGTGCTAGCCAGTTAGTGCAGACTACAGTAGCACCAACACCCACTGGGTTGGGCATTGCCAGTGACATTGAATAAAGATGCGGGCCTCTGATGCACACTAGTCAGTCAGTCAGTCAGAGTTGCTCTTACATTGAGGCAAGCGGCCTCCGTAGTCTAGAGTTAACGTTCCCACCTCATGACTCGTAGTACGCGGGTTCAAATACCCGGCGGAGGTCGTCGAATTTTTAAGGGCGGAAAAATTCACGGAACAAGTCCTCCGGGAGGGACTTTAAGCCGTGGGTCCCGTGTCGTAGCTTTAAGGCACGTAAAAGAACCTCATGTCTCCAAAGGAGGCCACTGAGCAAAATTACGGACGTTTCCCGCCCAACAGTAGTCTCTAATATCTCTGGTAGATGGGGGGAAGCATTATAGATACCACTCAGCTAGTAGAGGCCGATCTCGCTGGCTGGGCGGGACTGATGGTAAGCACCAGTACTGGTAGGATATAGAGACTGGTAGAATATCATAGAGGGAAGCACAATGGACCAAGGCAGGTCTACATGCATGGAGAAACCCACCCTCTCCAATAACTAACTAACTAACTAACTACATTGAGGCATCTCATTTGGAGCGCACACAGCAACAGCAACAGGAACCCTTCTAGTGGCAACACCATCAGCCTACTCCACCAGCAGTTGCCTAGACCCACTGAGAAGTCCACTGCCAGCGCTTTGCCCTACAGCCAGCTCACAGTCAACCAGCTGCTGACACAAGGGAGACCGATGACCCTAGTGCACGCCATGCCACTGCGGCCAGAGCTTCACCTGGCATTCATCAGGCACAACCTGCCTTACAGTTACAGCCCTTATCATGATCACACAATACCGCAGTGGTTACCGCACACTCTGCTTGCCTGCTCATCTGTATACTCTTCTAACAGCAGTAAATATCTGTCATAGCAATTTACATTGTTGTCTCTCTGCGCTACCGAAACTCACATCCCACACTTTGGAACCTAAGCATAGCATGGCGCTGCTCAAACTGTTGTGAATATGTATACATTTATACATCTGCTTGTTGGTTCGCAGGTGAAGAAGTTAGATGCCAGACTTGCTGTTCAGTGGATGAGCAAATGCATCGACCTTGCATCTGTATGGCAAGTTAGCAGCGACACTTTACGCAGACATCAAATCTGTGAGCTTTATTCCAATGGCTATGATCGCTTGGCTGAGGAGGTAATACCCAAGTCGGTTGCTTTCTTCATTTGCACTTACAGCATGAGTTTACAACGTTTTCACTACCATATCTGACCAAGGTTAGGTTGTAACATGGTGTGACATGACAGGTTGCCCTGGGATTTGAAACTTCCATGCTGACGGAATTCAGTGAAGTCTTCTCAGGTCACCAGCTTTGTCAGTATGGAGTTTGTTCCCGGTGTTTCAGAGACTGTCTCCATCTTCACCATCACTGAGTGATCTGATAAGTGTCATGTCAGCTCATTCCATTTGTATCCCTGTGTCCTGTTGGCTCTCCCAGTGCATGCCACTGAAGGAACAGTGAAGAGAGTCGCATGATCAGGCCCACAATTCATATTGCTTGTCATTGAACCATGCATGTGGTGTTCCTTGTTGCCTGTCATTTGTACCATGTTTCCGGCCAAATGACATGAATAGGTTAGAGTAGGCTGACCAAATTTTAAAAAATAAAAATTGGGACATGTTTTTGTAGACATTCACGCATTTTCAGCTGTTTTTGAAGGAGTTTGTTCCTCCTCTTGGATAGATATTTTGTAATTCTGAATGAATTTGTTGCAGTGATTTTGGGTTGTTTGAAACATAAGTGTAGAGGTTGTTGCATAAAAGATCCCAAAGAATGCGCTCTTGTCACTGTCAGTGCTCTCATGATTTTGGCAGTGAAGCAGCTCCTTTTGCCAGTCCATAAAAGCATATTTAAGGGCAAATATTCTTTCTGTTGCTTCACTTGTACTGGGAATACGTATAGAAATTCCAAAATGATGTATATATTTTTAATGAAATGCCTTCACTTTTCATAAACTCGAATACTTAGGGCCATCTTTTGACAGTTTTACTTCCATTTATCAGTTATGTTTCTGCTTATATTTTGAATGTGATTAATTTTGTCAAAAGGATCATCTTTCTCCTAAAAAAGGTTCGTAATATTTTGGTCAACATCAGTGCCAAACTGGAGGATATGTAAGTTGTGTCCAATGAAATGCCTTTAATTGGAGGACGCTGGTGCTCCATTTTTAACATCCTTTTCTTATTTTGAAAAAAAATTAAAGAAGGCTAATGGGATCACTTTGCTGTCTGAGTATCTGTGTGTCCCCCTGATGCCTAAAAGCCAGAATACTGGAGCTAGAGGAGAAGCAAGTTGCTAGGCAATGCCTTAGTAAACATGTTCCCATGGCAGTGAATACACACAATAGAAGAACTGTTGGATGCAATGTTTCATATGTGGTCCATGTCATAAAATACTCAATATGTACTGTAAGGAAAGTAGGTGATCAGTTATTCCCAGAACTTCTGTCCTGAATAGAACAGAAATGTGTTATAAAAGAAATTAGCTACTTTGGTGAATTGTTCATTGCCATAAAATCTTCAAAATTTAATGGTATCATTACAAGCTTCGAGGTGTGAAAATTTTCTTCTCTCTAATTTTTCATGCTGTTTGCTAAAGTATCCGGCTCTTCACTTGCTTGACTGCCTGAAATGTTGCCTGTTTCTATTCTTTTATTGTATTGCAGCTGAGTTTACTCTCCCAAAATAAAACCAAAACGTAGAAACTGGGTCATTAAAAATATTTCAGCATCGTCAGGCATTTTTCTCGGGGGATAAAATAAGATTTTAATTGCCGAAACATGACAGTAGCTCTGATAGTTGCAGGTTGCAGTGGCAGCCATGTAGCTTTTACACTTCCAAGAATATGTATATATTCAAGAGTAACGAAGCCATCACAGAATTCCCTTAACTCTTCAGTTCACACCATATGCATGTATGTGCACATGTGGAAATACTGGAATATTTTATTCACTGTGCCTTGTCATCAGATGGTACAATATCAGTACGTGTTTGAAAAGCACTTTCCATGCAACAGATGTTCACTTGTCTTCTGCAGAGACATTGTTTCTTCCTTTTCTTTCAGTATCAACAGAAAAGGCTGTAATTTTGTATGATAGCTATACATGCCTTGTGTACATGGTTAACATATCAGCTCTTTGGCCTTTCGTTTCAGTTTGAAGTCCTTTAAATAATATATCAAACCAGCACAGGCACTCACTTCAGACTCCCATGATTTGAAATGTGCACTGTGACTGATATAGTTTCTAATTCTTCTAACATTATTGCATGGCAAAGAGGTCAAGATATTTACATTTAGTTCTTGTTCTTGCCATCTTATCACTGTGGATGTCCATAGATTGAAAGGAAAGGTTATGTTTGAGTGTATGGAATGCTTCTTTGGTTGCGATGCATTTGTATTAATTGCTTATTGCAAAGAAGAAAGATGGAATTCATTATTTTGTATTACAGGTAATGCCTGCATTGCAAAATCCATCCCTGGTAGCCTCTCAGCTGTTGCTGATTGCAGGACAGCGCTTGCGGCAGGTCGTTATGAACTCTACCGATATGAGAAACAAAATGTCACACCTCAGCCCTTCACTCTCTACATGGCTTCACAGTTTGGTAAGTTGTGACTTTTGTCTCCATTAAGGTTGTGACCCCTGTAGTCTGGCAGATGGGTACCACCCAGTACCGTATCACTACTGCCATGGTGATCTCGAATACATACTATGAGAAGTTTGGTATACTGGTTTTGCTGGTTTATTTTTCTTATTCATTGAAGCAGTGACTGTACTTTAACAACTTGTAATTAATTTTTTATTTTGGTCACTAAGCCTGACACAGGTGGTTCTGATTTGCCTTTCCCAGCATACCGTCACACATATTTTGAATCCATTACTGAATCTGTTCAACATGGTGCATTGTAAGCTGTCACTCAGTGTTCCCTTTCACGTAATTCAAAGTCGTTGCTGAATCTAATAGAAGAGATTGCATCTTATCCTGTCAGCAAATCTGAATTTTTTGTCGTTCCTTTATAGTCATCATGAGGTTCGTGCCATTGGAAATGTGTTTCACAGCATTGAGTGGGGCTGTATTGTTCCAGCCTTGATGTATGTTAGAATAATTTAATTTGTTTTATGTTATGTTTGTCCTGGGTCTGGTATGATAGCATGCTGATATGTGCTGAACGCATTGAAGTCCATACAATGAAATCCTGTATGTAGTGAATATTTCTTGCAGACCCAGCCAAAGTCCCATGTAAACAGTGTATTTTCCCTCATATTTAGAAAACTATAATTTAGAAAATAACCCACATTTATTGTAAGAAATATTCCATCTTTATACGTCACTGTAGTGTGATCGTGGTTGAAACGGCAGTTGCTGATGTTCTCTGGCTACATGGTGAAATCACTCAAAGACCTATGTTTGGAAGAATAACCTGCTTATGGTATGGACAGAAGATTGAAAGACTGAATGAAGTAATTCATAGAAACTGCTCGAGCATTTGTAGAAATAATTCAAAAGCTCTGAAAGCATGTATTCTGGACTTGCAATTCACCAAGGAAGTTTCAGCTGGAGGGAAATTCAACACAGTATGCCCAAAGCTCTACTGCAGTCCTTGCACATTGGTTCAGCACCCATGACTGCAGTATGTACTGGCAAGAATATGAAGTAATGTTACCAAACATATTCAGAGCAGGCAAGATGAACTAAAAATGCCAGATTTTTATCATTCAAAGTATAAAATATTTTTCTGTGTAACGAATCAACCAAAATGAGTGTACATTTTTATACACATACATGATAATCCATTGAGCTATTTAATTTTCAGAAAATTATTTAAAAAGCCCCATTTCTTGTGCCACCAGATATATTACATGGTACTGTCACATGGGCTTCACTGAGTCACATTTTTATTCGCCCCTTTCAGTCTTCAGTGTTCAGCTGAAAGAAAATACTCACTCCCTCTACATTCTCTGAGGATATAGGTTAGAATTACGCTATTTTTTGGATCATATTGTGACATGATGACAGCACAGTTTAATGAGAGAAGCTGTCTGTTGCTAGATTACGGCACAGTATACATATGATGACACCATCAAATAGAGATCTATTGCAATGCAACAGCCGGTATTCTGGGGGATATAAATACTGGGACCTGGCCCTGCAGGTTGGGGGAGACAGTAAAACGGGGTCATGAGTTCCACAGGACTTGGACCCGAGAATGACTGCGCTGGCGAGGGCCAGCAGCATTTGTAAATAACAGACCCATCCTCTCATCAGAGAGGGTGCCCCACATCAGCAAACCAAAACTGTCTGACAGTAATAAAAATCTGGTCTTGGGCCCCAGATGAGTGCTTGACACTAAAACAGACTGACTGACTGACTGACCGACCATTGCCCTTAACATAACTTAGATTTTGACAGCCTTATTCTGTTGACAATGTGAGGAAGCCATCATCATGAGTTGAACTGTTAGTTGTGAGATGGTAGCCAGCCAGCAACAGTGGAAGCACAGGCCATTGTTGAGATCTGTTGCCAGGCAATGAGTGGTGAATACACAGCAGATTGAGAAGACTTAGTGCACTTCGGTTTCCCCTGCAAATCTTCATTCCACCAAATTCTCCATCATAATCACCTGGGGCAGGCTACAGTAGGCCAGTCAGTGGCCGCCGTGCCAAGTGGACCCAGTTGGACTCCACCCCCACTAAGCGAAATTTTGGTGCGTACTGTAGTGAATTGTAAATTGTGTGAATTAGCTATAGCCATATAGTTACTTGCAATTACGATTTGTAAAGCCAATTGCCAGTCCTAAACCTATGTCTAGTCATTACATTGTGCAATATTAATGACATAGTAGTTTATGATTGAAAACCACCCAGTAGCCAGACAGCTGCATCACATCCCATAAAGTGGCTGAGAGACTAGCGCTATGAACTTTTGCTTCCTGTAGTCACTGAGAGACTGAGGAAAATGACAGAAAACCCCTTCAGGATAGCTGGTGTCTAAGCTGAAGTTCAAACCAAGCACCTACTGAATACAAGTCTAGAACATTACTTGTAGACCAAACTGTTGCAAAGGCATTTGTATCTGACGACCTAATGTAGACTAGTCTCACCACAGACGACTACGACGTGAGATTTGAAGTTCTCATGGTGAATATGATGTATCCTTGTATATGAGGAGGTCATGTATTCGGGACATCCAGAAGATGCAGGCAGCAGATTCCACCAAAACATTCCCAACATTTACCGCGCTACACGGCATCACATCACGGCAGTATTGACCGTTCCGTTAGATTAGGCAGAGCAAAGGGTTAAGCTCTGTGTTGTCATTGCTTCCATAAATCACACACATGGCAGCAGTTTGTAGTTTTTCCAAGGAATTTTTCACTTTCTTGTTTCCAGAGTGAAGACAACCTGAAAAGCTGTGACACCCCTGATCTAAATGACTTGACACAGTTGCTTGCTATCATTATGCAGCATTTGCCTGAAAGTCATCAGGATTACCAACTCACTGCCCACATGGTGGAAACAGTGCAGGCATTCATAAGCAGTAGCAAGGGCATCTCTGCAACGTGACCCTTGTCATAAAGCTGATGCAAGGTTTGTTATGGCTGTGTGTAAAGTAAGGCCCCAATGCAGCATCATGTAGAGACACCAGTCTCTTAAGATTCTTCATAGTACTCACCAAAGTTGTACTGGAATTATAGTTGTGACAGTTCAATGAATTTTGAAACTTAAAATCAGAGAAATAGAAGAAGCCTCTTATGTAGTCATAAGGTACTCCTTTTGTCCATAGTGTCTGTATACGAGTATGTCACTGATAGAAATAGTGCAGCACTACAAATTTTATATTTTCATCTTTCTTTGCTATTTAATTTTGTTCTGTTGTCTAAATGTTCATATATGAAACTGTTTTTGGTGTGTTTTTTCTTCTTAGGAGGTGGGAACAGGCATGTAACTTTTTATGATGTGAATATTCATTTAACAGAGAGTCAGCATTAAGTCTCATTCATTTCGTAAAACTTTTCTGATAGTTCTGATCTGCTGTTTTCAGAGCACTGATCTGTTTTACTTAGAGCAGTGGTTATCGGTCTTCAGGACAGCGATCTACATTCCTCAGAGGACTGATCTGCTCTCATCTCCTGTCCTCTCCTACTTTTCTTAAGTACTTCCCCTAAAGCACTGACCCACTTTTCTGAACAATGATATACATACTTTTCTCAGAGATTTTCATGTCTCATATAATTTATGGTCAGTAATTCCATGTATTCTGTTATGACAGTGCCTTTTACAAAATTCAGCATGATCATTCCAGAGTTTTAACTAAGCTTTATTCAACAGTGGAATGAAGAATTTTAACTATGGCATGGTTTTGACTTATTTCATCCTGGTCCATCACACTAGCAATAGTATAAAAGATTATTAATGTCATCCAGTGTGATTGATAAATTTTGTGTTTTTTAATCTGTCATCCTTAACGTGTTTCAGTCATTGTGACCATTTTCTGAAAGACATTATCAGTACTTACAGGAACTACTATTACAATGTCATAGATATAAAATATTATTCTGTGACAATTAGTACAATGTGCATGAATTTGTTAAACATTTATAAATTATGTCTAATTAGTATGTTTACAAAGTATTGTTTAAAAAACTTTTTGTTAAAATGTACAACCAATTTGGTTTGTGTCTTTATACTTCTCTTTAAAGGAAGAGGAAACAATTTAAAAAATGTATGTTGTTATAACAACACAGCATGGCCTGAACAACTGGAAAACACTAGAGAGTCCTATTGTTGAAATGATGGAACCACGACGTGGCATATATTCCTCTTCCTTTAAAGAGGAGTATAAAAACACGAACCAAATGGTTCTAGATTTTAACAAAAAGTTTTTTAAACCATACTTTGTAAGTAGACTAATTATAAATAATTTATAAATGATTTAACAAATTCATGTACATTGTAGTAATTGTTACAGGATAATATTTTATATCTACAACATTGTGATAGTAGTTTCCATGTGTATTGATAATGTCCTTGTGAAGATGGTCGCTATGACCAAAACACGCTAAGGATGAGAGATTAAAAAAAAACAACATTTATCAGACACACTGGATTGTGTTAATAATCTTTTATACTATGGCATGGTTCTTTTAATATCAAAAGTTTTTATTTTTCAGCTGTATTTAGTGCTTGGAAAGCAAACAGAATTGTTACATATTTTTTCACTTTCACGAGAGTGGTGCATATTTGATACAGAATCCTTGGAATCCATCTTGTGCTTGCTTTCTAAAAGTGAAAGTGCTTATGAATAACTGTCTACACTACTAGCACTGATTTTCACTTCTAAGATTTCAAATACAGAAACATGATGTCCAGAATAAGTTTCTTATCATTGTTACTATTCATGTGATGGACTGGTGTTTGTAGCTATAAGGGAGAGTGCTGTGTCACAGTTGCCCTTCAGTGCAGAACACTGTTCAGAGAGATGGCTCACTCTGTCACAGTTGCCCTTCAGTGCAGAATAGCACTCATACAAATGTGATATCAGCAATGAATCATGCCCGAGTTGTACTCCAGTGAATATCAAATGGTTTTCAGCCTAGTTTCGCTAAAATTTCATTCCACTCACTGCTCCACCTTCTTACTAATTTCTCTGGACACAGTCTTGTGGCGTGACTGAGCACATGTGCACAAAAGCCACTTAGAGACATACAAAATGACTCTATATAAAAGTGACAGCTGATGCATGTCATTGTTATAGGAAACAGTGATGAATTTTGACTAAATTTGAACCACCTATGTATGTCTTGTTCTGTTTTTAGCAAAATGGAATTGTCATTAATAAGTCATCACTTTAGCTAACTGTTCAGTTTGTGATTGCTGCATCTCCCTGATTGGTAAATATCTTAACTCCGTGAATAAACCATAACTACTTGATCCTCTTGCACTACAATGTTTTACATGCATTTATGGACTGTAAAGATATGGTATCATTGTCAGAAAGTATCATTTTTGAGAAGGTATAATGTAAACAGTAATTTAATGTTATAGGTGGCATACCTTTTACAATATTGTACAGCTGTTTAATTTATTCTTGTTTATGTTACAATACAAGAGGAAAGTGCAGTAAAATATCATTAAAAGTGCATTTATCTTTATGAATAGTATTTAAGGGTTGGAAGTAATCACTCCATCTGCCAATGATGACCAAAGAAATGAAGTTTTACAGATGAAGAGTTTTTTCAGATATTAATTTCCTTGTGAGATATCCAGGAGTATGTGGAGCTCTAGTCAAGAATACCTGTTTGTGGGCAGACATTGAAAATTTAGGCAAGCGATGAGGATTCATTAAAAAGTATGATGCATTTAAATAGTTAAAATCAAATGAACTATGCTAGAACATGAGACAGAGGTGTTCAAAATCTCTATGGGAAAAATTTAAACAAAACCGTTACATGGAATTTTGTGGACTAAAAATATATCCAAGGAAGTTAAAGAGATATATTTTACAGCATAGGTGGAAATATGCTGTTACATTGAGGTGAAGTGTGACCATTGGCTGAAAAATTGAGGTGTAAAATAGGGACAGCTGAATTTTATTATTTAGAAGGTCTTCAGGAGAGAAAGGAGAATAGAATGAGAAATGAAAAAGGTAGAGTCATCCTTGTGCTTAAATAATTGTGCATCACACCATGAACATGTATGGGGGAGTGGAGGCATAGTTTCACAATTCTAAAGTGATGCATGTCACAGAAGATGATGCCTTCATTTGTTTCCACTGATGGGGAAAGAAATTGAGAACTTACCATTCTCTTCTGCATTATATATGCTAGTCCCATAAAAACGTAGAATGAATGTCTTAATTATGAAATCATTTGGAATGCTGGAAACTGCTCAGCTCTTCTAGCTGTATTTGTGATTCAACCGATGTCTCTGAACTAAAAGTTGGTACCACTGATCTGGGAAGAGGGAGCACAGGTAGGATTGGTGGCAGCTGATAAGACTATGAGAATGCACTACAGTAGTAGAGAGGAAACAGGAAAGTTACATTTCTAGGCACATTTGCAACCCTGTAGGGTGCATTCTGTTCATTCTTCTGTATGCATGGAACAACAATTTGATTGATTTTATGAAATCTGATGTTGGAGAATGTATGAAAAATTGAAGAGTATTTATGTTTTCATGTAGATCATGTGTGTGTGTAATGAAGTACACATGTATTGTGCTTCATACAAGGGTTGGGCAAAATAAGTGAAACACTGGATACTGTACACTTTCATTTATTAATACAGTGCTGGACCATCTTCTGGCTTCAGTACAGCTGGAATTACTCTTGGAATGGACTTTTACAAGTTTTGAACAGTCTCTAGCAGAATTTTATACTCTTCTTCTTGAACATGTTCAAGGTGATGCAGAGAGGGGGGTGAAAATCTGTTCCTCACTCAACCTCCAAAACTGACGAGAGTGGTTCAATGATGTTCAAATCTTGCGATTGTGCTCGCAAAGGAAGGTGTTGAAGTTCACTTTTATGCTACTCAAACCATGACTGAACAGTTACAGCTGTGTGAATGGGCATGCTGTTGTCTTGGAAAACTGTATCATTCTTAGGAAATAACATCTGGATCATGAGATGCACCTGATTACCCAACCTATCCATATACTCCCTTGCAGTAATTCCACCACGAAGGTAATAATGGGACCAAGAGAAAACCACCACCACCACAGAACATCCCCCATGTTTCTCAGAATTCCCAGACATTCTGGACCGTATGCTTCCTTGATGTTCTCCAAACGTAAACGCCTCCTGACATATGGAACAGTGTGAAGGACGGCTCATTTGACCATATTAGGCTCGCGTTTCTAGTTGTCTGATGTCAAGGTTTCATGGTCGTGACACCATCGTTTAAACATCTGAGCACTGCTTTCAATAATCAGAGGTTTAGCAATTGCAGCCTTGTCATGGATGCTGGATCTGTGAAGCTCACGTTCACAGTCTTTGTGGAAACTGAGTCTTCGAGATGTATATTCGGTTCTGCTGTCACCCGTGCCGCAGTAATTGTGTTTTCGACACAACCCTTCATAATGCATGACGATTTGATTTCGCCCACTGCTTCTCTTCGCTGAAGTTGTGTTCCCATGTTTCGTGAATGCTGACATAACCTTAGAAAATGTCGCTCTCAGTACACGCAAGAATGTCACATGCTCAAGCTAAACACGCACCAACTATCTGTCCTCTTTCAAAATCGGACAAGTCTCACATTTTCCGATTATTTCGCATGGACTGCCATTGAACACTATAACACTTATACGAGCACTAGATTTAAAAAAGAAACGGAAGAACATTCATTGTTGCCAACTGAAGTTCTTTCACTGTAGCCGACACAAATTCTATTCCTCAGTTTGTGTTTACATTATTTTGTCCACTTCATGTATATGCATCGCTACATTCCGTAAACCTAATTGATTGATACTGTCCATTACCACAAATATAAACAAAAAATATGACTACATATTGTATTATGCACCATTTAAATGGAAATTACCTTCTCCGGCTCCCAGTGACTTTACAATGGCTGTCCGTAAAAACGACAAGAAAAAAAATGTTCATATAGTTTGTGGACTCTCAAAGCTTATTACCGAGTACATAAGAACCCCGTGCCTGGACGCGGTTCCATTCTTTTCGTTCGCTCAAACTGTGTTTCTGCGAGCCGATTGATAAAATTTCTTACCGAGTGGGCTACCGAAACTGGATTTTGAACTTAAATAGGTACGGAATATAGATGCCACTGTGAAATTAATCGCATGTCCGGATGCCAATGTGTAATAAGTGACATGGACGAAAGTTATCGTAGGATGTGAAGATTTGGGTGAAGCGGGAACGAGCGGGAAGAAATATGGATCAATTTTATACAGCATTGAGTTTATATCGTCGACGAAAATATGAGGAATGTGTTGCAGAGTGTACCGAGCTATTGGAAAAGAATCCATATGATCAGGTTTGTATTACAGTGTGCTCGGTTATTAAGATTTTGGTGTTCTGGGTTGTCGTACCTTCCCGGATGTGAAATTCAGGCGTAAGGTCGGACTGATGAGGGAAGCAGCAGAAATTGATCTCTACCCCGTGAAAAAAGGAGAGCGGATTCTCATTGAGCAGATTGCGGAAGCCTCTTGTACGCCCAGTGAAGGAACGAAAGAAAAGTTCTCCAAGCACCGATTACTTCTAAATAACATTCCATTACCCCAGCTCATGATGGTGAAAGAGGTGGCTGTTTCTTCACTTTCAGTCTGCTGGGTCTGTGAAAAGGGCCATCGTTTTCTCAGTTCTCAAGCTGAAAACTCCCCTCCTATTAGAAAGCTTAATGATGGATCTGAAAACAGCCACTGCTGTCCATTTTGTACACAATTTCACTTTCCTCCTGCAACGAGCATGTGCTCCAAAACATCTGTATCCACCCACAAAACTTAGCATTTTCACAACCCAGAAGACCAAAATCTTAATATGACTTAAGTGAAAACATCAAAGCTTATGTGATAGGTAATGCATTGAGAATAGTTTTTACTTTGGAATGTGTGGTCTGTACTGTAGGCAATTTGGACTCTCAAGATGAAGGCACTTACAGAGCAAGTATATGTGGATGACATTGAGGCAGAAGAAGAAGGGATTGCAGAGGCACTGATGGACACTGACACAATTGCACAAGTTGCAAGGCCAGGTACCTCACTCCGTACACCAGGTACTGCACAGGGAGGATCGAATCAGGGACTCAGGTACAAATGACCTTTTGATTATAGTTTAAATAAGAGTTATCAGCGGTTGTCAGGTGTCATACCAAATTCTGTATTGCAGCATCTTGTTGCTCACTATCTCACTGTGTTTTGTTCCTCGTCTATGCACCTCATTTAGTCAGGTTCTAAAATGTATGCCTTCTGTTTAACCATTCACACTATCACTATGTACAATTGCAGCCTTCATCAGATATATCTATGCAGTAATGGAAGTTGGTACACACTGTATGCTTAAGGTGGTTGTCAGTGGAACTGAAATTTAAAATTAAGTAATCAGGACAAAGTAGATAACTTTCAGTCCAGTATGACATACAGGTTTACAACACTTTGGTCTTTATTCGCCTTACACGTTTCGATTCAAAAGAATCATCTTCAGAGGCGTGCTGTGTCGTATGTACATACGACACAGCACGCACGTAAACTAAACAACTAACAATAAGAACATACAACCAAGAGAAATAATCGACATCTTCTACCATCCAGAGGAAAAAACATGACCCAATGTTGGTTCACGATTTTTAACATAATAACTAATTTTTATATACAAAAGATTTTTAATACAATTTTAAATACATAGGGAAGCTACGTAATTTTATGAAAAAGTGAACATCACATTGCATGCAGTGGGAAACCCCAATCGAATACCCAGCAAACACGCTTAAACGAAACATCATACGTAAATCTACATGTCAATGTGGCTGCATAGGGCAAACTGTGATATTTTAGTTCTGTGGCGCTACAGCCCCAATTTGGGCCTAGGCCTACCTCCATGAAACTCTCCGTTTCACTTTGGTTTACTAGATCTTACACATACAGTAGGACTCCGAGTGATCAGCTTGTTGCAAGGCCTCTACCTGTAGGCAAACACAGAATAACGCACACAAACACATTCATGCCCTGAGTGGGATTCGAACCCACGATCCCGGCTTCTGAGCGAGCGAAGACAGTGCACACCTTAGACTGCTCGGCTACCATGACCGGCAAACTGTGATATAGTGAGCACTATTCATAACCTAAGTGCATAATGTTAAAACATCTTATGTGACAGTGTTTCCTGCTCGTAATGGTGTGCCTCTGAAGATGATTCTTTTGAATCGAAACATGTAAGGCGAATAAAGACTGAAGTGTTGTAAACCTTTATGTCATGCTGGACTGAAAGTTATCTACTTTGTAATTGATAGTGTGACGGACCAGAATGAGACAAATCAAATTAAGTAATCAGGTGTAGGTTAGAATTAGCTAAAATTATGGTAGAATCAAAATTAAAGTGATTTTGATATCCACTTGTTTTCTTCATATTGTTGCAGTAGTTCATTAGTGCACTGTTTTTGTCATTCTTTTGTCCTGCTTTGATTTCTTGTTTCTCATTGGCATGTTTCAGCTCATTTACACATGTATCTGAACTGCAAGTGGTAGGAGAAAGACAGAAGCACAGTTGAACAGTCACATTGCAATGGTTACCACTTCTACTTTCTTGCATCAAAGTTTGTGATTCAGTTGAGAATTTACATTTGTCTGAAGTTATCATTCAGACAGATTTGTAGGAATTAGAAAGTTGTATTGTAGACTTTTCGTATTCAGCACATTGATGTTAAGTCAGAGGTAAGATATATTTGGTTCAAGAATGATCTTCTTTCTATCACATTTGTGTTAGTATATAGTTACAATCTGAACAGCTGCAACACTTGGGACTCTTGAGTTGGCCACATGGACTTTCATACATTAGTGGTATTTACTTAGGCCCTTCTAGGTTGATAAACTTTCCTATGTAAGTGTACTAGAGGGGTGTCTTGTAAAGCAGACCTCTCTAGTTTGGGAAATGTCTTAGAGCATAGACGTTGGTTATCAGGGGCTCAGCAGGCCACAGCAGAACTGGTAATGGGCTGTGAATGGGTAGCTGCGATGTTCACTTACTAAAATGAATGTGCATAGTTATGGAATGTTTGTTAAATGTATCTGCAGCACAGCTATGACTGCAAGATTTTCTCTTACCCTTGCTCTTAGGCCTCGAACACAAACTGGGCGTCCACTCAGTGGAGTAGTTCGCCCAGCTACTCAGTCAGGTCGTCCTGGGACAATGGAACAGGCTTTACGTACACCTCGTACAGCCCGAACTGCACGTCCCGTTACTTCCCAGTCTGCCCGTAGTGTGCGCCTTGGGACAGCATCGATGTTGACGGAATCTGGTGGTCCATTCATACAGCTGTCACGGCTTAATATGGGGAAATATGCTGCTCAAGGAATCATTGCCAAGCCACTGTTTGAATACATCTTCTACCATGAAAATGATGTGAGACATGTAAGTTGTGTGGTGCATGACATGTATTTTATGATCAAATTTAACTAGGACAAACTGACAAATAGTGAACCAGTCCTCATTTTGTCTGCTGTCATGTGCTGAAGTTTCCCACTGTCCGTGGCTGTAAATCATTTAGATTAATTTAAGTTGAATTAGACTAATTCTCTAATCACTCCTAACTACAAACAGACTCATCGTATAGCCATGGCACTGACCGCATAGAAAACACCTATTAGGGATGCATGTTTACAGCTCCATTGCCTAGCACTGGGCATGGCACGGACAACATAGAAAACACCTCTTCTGTTGTCAGAATTGTTGTGCTACTGAGCACCGAGCTGTAGCATGGTCCACAGAGAACACAGCTTCCATTGTTACGTGTTCTCTGGAATGTGTATGCTGAATTGTTGCCTAGCAGTGGGTTGATACGTCTCAGTATCATGATTGTGGTTTTGTCATGATGTTCCAAACAGCCAAAGCTTTAGCCAGATTTGATTAATGATAGATTATTGTTTTAGGCACTGGAACTAGCTGTGCAGGCAACACAAGCTTGTCAATTCAAGGACTGGTGGTGGAAAGTGCAGCTAGGCAAGTGCTACTTCACTTTAGGCTTGGTCCGGGATGCAGAGCAACAATTCCGATCGGCACTGAAGCAGCAACAAGTGGTGGAGATATTCCTTCGCTTGGCTCGTGTTTACATCCGTGTGGACCAGCCACTCTCCGCTCTGGATGTGTGTAAGACAGGACTGCAGTACTTTCCTGGGGAGGTGACGCTGACAACAGAGATTGCAAGGCTGTTTGAGGGTCTTAATAACATTCCCACATCCATCAAGTACTACCGAGATGTTCTGAAGGAGGACGCAACACATGTTGAAGCTATTGCTTGTATAGGACTGCAGCACTTTTATACTGATCAGCCTGAGATTTCACTTCGATTTTACAGGTATTGTGTTGTGTATGAATGTTCTCATATGTAATTGGTTCATCGACAGAGAAGCTGCCTAGTGGTGGGTACAGTTATCAGCTGAGATGTAACTTATCTTTTTAATTAATTCAGTTAATTCAGTAGGAAGTCTCGTCATTTCTTACATAAGCTTCTGTACTTTTAATGTCCATGAATTCTCCTCTGTTCGTTTCCTGCCCTACAAGTTAGAGAATCATAGTTGAGGCTGATGTTTAATGCCATGTCCCATGAATAACACACACAAATAGTCATAAACTGTTACTTATGATCTAGTCCAGTGCAGCAGTTTCAATAAGTGAGCAGCTGCCTGAAGATTCCCAAGTAGGGCTGGAACATGTAGCAATTGATGTGATTTTAATGTAATTTTAAGTTAAACAGCAAGTGAACAGTTTTAAGTTGAATTAAAGACAGAAATGAATTGAGTGAGTAATACATCAATGCAACAGGATTCTCAAATATAATATTATGTAAGTATATAATTATTTTGTTTGTGATATGTTAGAAGCCCTAATTGACCCTGTACTGTTACACCTCACCTCCCAGCTGTTTGGGTCCTGATGTTGGTCATTGTGACACAGATGTTACATTAAGTTCATTTAGGCACTTTGAAGCAAATAGATTCCTTCCAATGCTGTGATAATTTTCTTTATTACAGGCAGATGTAAGAAGTATGTGAATCTGGTGGAACTTTATCAGTGTGTTACAATTTATACCTTTCTCATTAGTAATGCAATGTCCAGGTTAAAGTTTGAGCCAATGTATTCCCCTGAAGCGCTGGTACACACTTATCAGAATACATAGTGTCATAAACCAAAAGACCACAATGTGGAAAGGTGTTAGAGAATGGGCATCAGCCATGGCTGTCAATGTCTTGAAATGAAGTTACTGACAAGCTCTGGTTCTGCCTCTTGACACTAATGTATGCGCACATTCTGAATTTTTTTTCCTTGTTTCTCCAGAAGATTGCTGCAGATGGGAATTTACAATGCTGAGCTTTTCAACAATCTTGGGCTGTGCTGTTTCTATGCCCAGCAGTATGACATGACAATAACATGCTTTGAGCAGGCACTCAATCTGGCTACTGACGAGGCAGTTGCCGACGTATGGTACAACATTGCACATGTAGCCATAGTAAGCCAAGTTACTGAATTAATTTGTTTCTTGCTTATTCAGAGATTCATGACTGCTCAGTCTTTGAAACACTTAACAGTGACCTTTGTAGAGTGTGTATGCCCACAAAATATATTTGATGTTTGAAAGTGTTGTGTTATCATAACTGTGATGCCCAATTGAATGAACCAAACATGTGAAAATACATACACATGCATGCACACGCACCCACTGGATTAGAATTTGTTTTATTGCAGCTCCATATGTGTGTGCCTCTTGTAATGTTTTATGCAAGTGTCCCAAGAGGAAAGGTCAGTATTCTGGGAGGTCATAATATTAATCATTCTAAGCAAAAAAGTGTGTCTGTATGAGTACATGTGTGCTATTCCAAAGTTTCCGAGTTGGAGCTATTTCACTTTTCCGTCTATGAGCTGATTGTATAGAAAATGTAAGAGCCTTGACATTTCATGACTCTATGGGCCTCCATGGCCTGTTACAGGAACAGCTTTATTTTTTTTAAAACAGTTATTCACAGTCTGTTCTGTCACTCTTGAATAGTTTCTTACTGGCTCTCTCTTCACAGGTACATTGGTAGGTTGCAGGCAGTAATAATGGGGAATCCCTCCTATTTGATTCTAATGTCATTTGCCCTTGCCCTGGCTCTGGTCTGCTGCTGTGTATTTGTGAGTTATGAACTGATTTGGAAACTCTGCCTTGTACTGTTGCATGCATGTTGCTGTAGAAACATGTTTTAAGAAGCTGTTGCATAGCAATTGATGCCTCTGTGAAACTTATGTGATTCCAAGATTCTACCACCATAGGCATTATTTCTCAGTGCTTTCGCATATTTGTAGGGTCATATGCTTTCCTTGGTCAGTTGACGTAATTACGTGTACAAGTGCTGAAAGTCATCCATCAGAAATCATCTTAGCAGCATTGGGATCATAGTTTTTTGTGGCAAGTGTGTAAGTTATTTCAGATGTGGAATTTTCACACAGAATTATGCAGTAGTGGGTGTAGTAGGAGTCACAGATGAGCACAGTGCATGAAAGATTTTGAAGTGGGTTTGCATATAGTTTGAAGGGTGTACAATCGTGGGTTCAAGAAGGTTGTGAAACATTGTATGATAATCTCCACAAACAGAGTAGAATGGGACAAGTGGAGGGTGTTTGTAGCTGTGGTAATCAGGTGTTAAGAGACAGTTGGTGGTAGCTACACGATCCTTATGAAGGATCTTGAGATATGTCTGCCAGCACACTGTACCAAGAGCTGTGAGGCAGGAACACATGATCACATGAGGGAGAATGATGAGCATACCAGTGCAGCAGATAATGATTTGGGCTCCACCCAGTAGATGATAGAACATGCCAACTTAGTGTTTGTATACAATTCCAAAAGTAAATGACTTGGAGAAGAGCACAAGTTTTGAAGCTCCTCATTATTCAGTTTTCTCCAGCCTTGCATCACTTCATCTCTCTCTGATCCAAATGTTTTTCTCGGCACCCTGTTCTCAGACACCCTCAGCCTACGTCCCTCCCTTAATGTCAGAGGCCACATTTAATACCCAAATAATGCCTAATTTTAACCCACTGTTCACTAGCGTTTCTAAGATGTGGTTGACCACTCAGCCCAGATGGCTGTTCCACATCCCTAGTGTCATTTTCATTGAGTGTTAGGGTGTTAGCGTGTTCTGAACTGGGAAGCGTGTGGAAGGAAGCAGTCATGGCCTTGTTTGAGGTATTACTCAGGCACTTGCCTGTTAGGCTGAGATAAGCCACAGAAAATATCAGTCGGGATAGCCCATTTTTGGGCTCATATTGAAGCCAAGACCTCCTGAATGCAAATCAGAAGTGCCATATGCATTGCTTAGAACCTAATTTTCCTTCAAAATAATAATAGGAACTCAAGCAGGCTGGAGCAAATGTGTCATCGTGTTTGTGTAGTTGACTGGAATGCTGATTTTGCTGATTTTCAGGGCGTCGGAGACTGTAATTTGGGAATGCAGTGCTTAAGATTGTCCCTGTCAGCAGACAGTAACCATGCTCCAGCTTATAATAATCTTGGCGTTTTGGAGATGAGACTTGGACATGCTGAAGAAGCGCGGGCATTCTTCCAGGCAGCAGGAAGTCTTGCCCCATATCTGTTTGAGCCACATTATAATTACGCAAAACTGGCAGAAAAGGTAAAGTGTTTCTCTGAAAACTGAGGTTCATACAGTGGCGTGAAGAGTGTTGTGGTCTTCTTGAATGGGACCCTGTGTAACTTCATAGATAGAGCCTGCTGCCTCCACCAGTAGGGCAGGAGACTGTTTTACTCTGTCTACATGTTGGTCCACTGATCAAGACTACTGTCTGACGGACCCAATTGGGGAGGATACTTGGCCCCCTTTTTACACCCGATGACAGTAACAGATGCAGCTCCTGGGACATTGTGTAATTTTAATTATACCTGCAGGAATGGACCATGTCCAGCAGAACGACTTTACAATTAACTGTGAGTGCCTGTTTACCAAACTGCATGGCCTCACATCTCAGTACACCTTAATCCTGATAAAATGTGTGGCTTTCCCAATAGTAGTATATTGTGGCGATAACATTTCCAGTATAGATGCTTGAGGATGAAGCCAGGACCCTCCCCCCTTCAAGATTTTTGAAACAGAACGAGGATGACGCAAGTAATGCTTGGCGTAGTCTTCAGCTCTGAAGGCAGAGGCGATGCGTTCATCTGGAACTTGGCTAACCTTCGTTCTACTGCAGAGTATTGTGTCCCTGAAGATGGAACTCTTCATAGCATCTGCTGTGAGAACCTCAAACCAAACGAAAAAATTGTTTGTATAAATTTCGTAGACATTTCTATGAGATGGCATCATTCTGAAATTAGTCACCTGCTACTATTATGGATATATGTATTTTACATTGTCGCAATATTGTGTTGTAGGAATTGTGATTTTTGCTGTATGAAATGCAGGGTATTTGTAAACTTTTTTGACAGCTTGAAAGAATATGTATAGTAAACCTTCATCCATCGCAAGGGTTGGGCATATCAAGCGCACCACCATATGTAAGTCTATGTTGGCCCTGTGCGTTAAGTGAGGGTGCATGAACATGGTTGTGCAAAGTTTCCCATTGATATTTAGATAAGTGGATTTATGGTGCTGCCCCTACTGTGTATGAAGTAAGAATACAATATACATGAGAAAGCAACAGAACTGGATGGAACAGGGCAGTGCAAGAGAGACATGTGGAGATTAGGAGTATTAAAAGGATTATGAGAAAAGCTGCAACATATGGTGGTTTGTACCATTTACAGACTGTCTGTATTCAGATTTTCCATATTTTGTAAAGAATTGTTAGCGTTTATTTCTGTCTATATAAGCAAATCATGTCAGGCATGGGTTTACAGTTTTGGGGGATTTTATTGAAACTATGAATGCAAAACCGTCAGTAACATATGCAGTGCTTTACCAGTGTGTTGTGTAGCTGTGTGTGTTCTCATAATTGCTGTGTGGCAGCTTGTTGAGCCAGCAACCAAAATGGTAGATTTTACTGAGCTAGAGAAGGACCATTATGTGCTTTGGTTCCATGAGACACAACCGGTATCAGTTGTTCAATGCAAATTCAATAAAAAGACTACAAAGAACTGCCTTCTAAGAAATACAATGTGTGTATGTTAACCATTAAAAATAATCTTTTGCTGACTGTGGGACTCCACAGCCTGTTACAGGGATAGCTTTACAGATTTACAAGCTGCTGTTATTTGCTGAGAAATCTTGAAGTGTTTGCATCATTTTATTGACCTTGAACAGACAATTGCAAGATGAATGACTGCAAGCAGCAGGGGAGTGTTAGGTTACATGTCTTGTGTACTTGGGTTAGCTCCAGGTACAATTTCAGCATTACAACTTACTTTATATTCAGAATAAATTTTTGTTTTGAAATTCAGGTGTCAGTTGCATTTAATTGCATCATTACTCTATTTATATCATAAAGCTGTTTTTAAAATTAGATCATGGGCACAAATAGAGACAAGTGAACTTAAGTAGCAGTGGTTATAGCATCAGTATATACAGTATTTGCCATTGTTTTTATCTCTATGCAACTTACTATAACATTTGCTTGTTATGGGGCAGTTATTTACAGTTTGTCACAATCTTGATGTTGGTTTGTTTGTGTTTGCTACTTTACCACTGAATACCTCTGTGCCGTCTCTTTGAATTTGTCTTGTCACTGCCAGCTCGTTTCATTGTTTCGCTACATACCAATGCTATATGTTGCTCCTAAGCACAGACTAACTGGACTTCCTGATTGATTTTACACACTTCTGTCCTGGTGTAGTCTGTTCCAAAACCTTAAGAGGCCTCCAGAATCATCAGGAAGGAGGAGGAAGGCTGCAGTGTGGCTCTCAAAGACAGAAGACAGGTGACCAACCTATCCCCCACCACTCAGTCATTGTTGCCTTGACGACAGTGTATCTGTCCATTTTTTGTTAGGTTAATTGAGATATGTTTAATTAACAATGGAGTGTCATTTTCTGTTTGAATTCTATAAATCCCCCATTCAAGATTTTTATTGATGTAACGAACAGAAATGTTCCCCCCAAGCCAAGACCAACTGTAAATGGGGATTTTATTGTGCACACCTGTGCCAAAGAGCACTGATGTGCTGGAGACTGGTAGCTGACGAGTGATACAGTAAGTAGATAAGGGCAGTTCTGACATCAGCCATGTTGTGAATGGAACACTTGCAAAAAGGCTAGTCTTTTGTTATATTATTCACATTTCCTCCCCTCAACAAAATCAGAGCTATAAACTTTTGAAGTTGTTAAGAAAGCCTACAACTACCCTGCACATGACCCTTCATTCACTTGCTGAAAGGATTAAATTAACAACTGGAATTCTTTGCATTTTTCAGATGGGAGACTTGCAGACGAGTTACATTGTGATCCAGAAATCTCTGCAGGCATACCCAAGCCATGTCGATTCTAAGGAACTACTTGAGAAATTACAGAAACACTTTGCTTTTATATGAATAAGGTTTACTGAGTTCAACCTGTGAAGATGATTGTGTAGCACTGCTTCTGAAAGCACCCTGTCTGTGACTAATATAGAAATGTGTTCTAGGACCACAGAGTATGATGTGCGACAGCACTCACAGCACTAGCAATATGCACACGTGGTGTGTCGTTAGCAGGCAGGTCACAAATGCACAAGGTGAAGCAGTTAATTGAGTGTGAGATGATGGGTTCTGACGGCAGTGCTGATGAAGATGCCCGTCTTCTAGGATGTGACACCATGTAATGTGTTGAATCATTACCGGTGTTTGGAGGAATGTGGTGCCTTGATCTTCAAGATAAAGGACTAAGCAGAGTGTAGAGAAGAAGGGGACTAGAGCTGGGGCTATGGAAAACCAGTAGGAGAAGGTAGTACTGAGAAGTGACAGATATACTGTCAGTACCTGTAGGAAGAGGGGTAAAGTAGGAGGATGAAAGAAGGTGGGTAAGAGAGGTCGAACAGAAGTAGAAATGAAATTAATAACAGTAATATAAAATAATTTTACAAAATAAAAATTGAACCGTGCAACGGTTCTTCTCTGTGAAGTTCTTTGGAGTCCCCCCCCCCAAATGCCGGGATGCGAGCCGTTTTTCCCTCTTTCCACTCATAGTCTTAGCTGACGTCAGGTCAGCTGACCTTGTCCCCTCCCTTCCTGGACTGACGTGAGGTTTCTTGTGTGGTGATGAGGAATGCCTCGACCTCTCTTCCCGATACCGTCAGATAGGTAACATCGCCAGTTCCAAATTCGCTGTTTAGGTTGATTTGAGTTTGTGAAATTCTGTTTCGGCCCGGGCGCATTCTGAAGGGGGAAGAGTGCCCTCGCGACCTGATGAAGGTTGTATCAAGTCGAGAGGTTAAGCTTGGTTAGTAATTTTTGGAAACGCCAGTAAGTGACTTACTGTGGTGCTTGGTTTCCTGGTTTTATTACGACACCGTGTGGCGTAAGTAAATGGTTTTGTTTGTTGGCTTGAATAGCCGGTCGCCCTTCAGGCGTGTGAGTATGAATATATAGTTGTGTTCCCAGTAAAGTCAATGGTTGCCATGAGGTGTGCTTATATTTGTGTCTGTGCGCTTAGCCACAGGTTAATTCTGTATTAATTGTGAGTGTGCTTTGATCACTGCCCGCCCATCAGGCCGAGTACACCTGTATACCTTTGTTATCAATATACACATTTATTTATATGTTAGAAACGCCTGTAGTATTTGTGTATACTTGGGTTGTCTGTGTGTCCCCTACTAGTTCAGACTAGCAGATCCGTCCAGCTTGGCCCATAGTGCCGACAGTGGTCTTCCTCTCCCGAGATCCCCTACTCGACCTTGGGGAGGCATAGTGCATCACGTACAAGCAAGTCGTCTTATGAGCCTGTCCCTTGCCCGCTTTGAATAGGAGTCCATGGGTTAAAGTGGGTAGGAGAACTGGGTTCCCTTCTACATGGGAAGGGAAACGGCACAAAGTGGTAGCAGAGCTGGGTTCTCGACCCACATCGGCAAGGGGCAGCGGCTCAAAATAAAGGGGTAGATGAATAGATCCATCTTCTGCAATGTAATGCCGTATATGCCATCGAAAGTCGGTTGATGTTTTGGAGGACTGTGTTGCCTCCATGTTCATGGTCAAAGAATATGCCAGGCAAGAAGCAGGCAGCAAGCAAAGCTATGCCTGCTACCTGCACTTTATAGCACTTGAATCAGAAACCCACATAATGGAAGCCTTTCTGTTTGTTCAGTTCAACTAATGTCTTGAAAGAGAAATGAACAAGTTTCCCATTGTAATCGCTGTAGGCATGTACACATTATCAGAATCGTTGGAAAGTTTTGACACCCCCTTGCATGCCCTTTTTACTAGCCTCGTATCTGTTCCCTAATTCATGGAGGTTGTGACATGTGGCTTGGTCAGACCTCTTCACTCCAGCATGTATTGCCGCTTCTGTCTGTGTCTGTCGGCAGTGGGGAGTTCAGGTATTTGCTCACTGTTGCAGATCCTTTACCATGTTTCTTGTGGCTGTGGGGGAAACACTGCTGGAGCACAGGCCTAATGTATTGTTACAAGTAAGGAGACATTGAACTCACCATCTGGTTTTTAGTAGATATAGCATAGTTTTTCCAATTGGGGCATGGATTTTTTTTAAGAGTGTTGTCTTCTGAGGTGCGACACTGTGTAGTTCAGAGAGAGCCCAGTGTTTCAGAGAAACCTACCACTTCCATCTTCAGGGTTCAAGACTGAGCCAAACAAGAAACCAACAGAAGCTGGTGTGAAGGTCAGCAATTTTCATGCTTGACTTGCTCCTTAACACTGAAGATGGAGGCAGTATGTTCCTGTAAAATATCAGTCTGTTTGATATCTGCATGGCCCTGCAGTCCAGAAGATCATGAGCTTCGTAATCACTGGCAGGAGAATGTCCAGGCTAGTCCTTGTACTTGTTTGTTTATTTATTTGTTTTTGCCGTGTATTATCAGTGTTCCTACAAGTCTTACCTTTATCCTGTAGTCCTCTATGGCTCTCTAGTCCCATGTCAGTATATCCTGTCATGTCACTGAACTGACTGAATGTTATTTGTCCTCAAGTATTGCACTGTCTTGTCATGCATATCTATGGAATGAATTTTTTGTCATATCAGCTGATACAGTTCTTAGTATATGTAAATGAAAAAATTGTTTCCTATGTTTATAGTCTGATCTTTATTTGCAAAATCTGTTCTATTCATTCCATTTTTCCATATTGGTATATATTGTTTAGTGTGTGAGTTGTATATCCTGCGTGAGTCATGCTTGAATGTGTAAAAGGTAAAGTTGTCCCTGTGCTTAACTAATTAAGCACTGTGCCATGAAGGTGTGTGGGGCAGTGGATGTATAGATCCATATTTTCTTGATCTTAACACTAGTTGGAAGTGAGTGGGCAGCTTCATGCCCCTGCCACTTTACCCCCAGTACCCATCGGATAGAAGGCTTGGTGGGCCCCAGAGCCGGTCTGAATGACATGGAGAAAAGAAAATTCTTAATCCTACCGAGACTTGAACTCTCACTCCTCGGTCATCCAGCCTGTAGCCAGTCGCTGTACAGACTACACTATCCCAGCTGCCTGAATATTCACGTTTATAAATACTGGTGTTTTTATATTCACTGGAGACAGGTGCCATTAAAAGTAAATGTCTGGTTGTGATTTATCTTTTGATGGTTGTTATCATTTTCTTGTTTTTAAACAAGTTTGTGTTAGCATGTCTAATTATCAGAGCATGTGAAAGTGACTCATTTTTCTTTTTGAATTGTATATTTGTTATTTATCCGCATTTTGTATCATATTTTGCTCTACAGTCATGTTATTTGTTCTGTCTGTCGTTTGTATATCAGATTCAGAAAAATTTATTTATTCTAACTTGTGAAGGTGCTGCTCTGGATAATGTGAATTGTTGATTATTATTTAATCCACCATTGTTGGTTTACGATGTATGTGTGTATTTGTGTTTCACCTTCTCTCTATTATTTTGAGATCTGAGTAAAATATTCGCTTTCATATTGGTAGACTGCAAGGCTGTGTTGTGTGCATTGAAACCACCACTGTTCCTGGTGCATAGCTTTATTCATTACATGTGAGGAAATAAGCCATGAAAGGAAATTTCAGATGTTGTACCTGATATTGGAGAACCAGTTGCAGCTCCTTTTAGGAGTTGTGACCATTTGTTTGTAACAAATACAGCTAATTAAATTCAACTGTTTAGTGGATGATGCAGTACTGTAGACAAGCTGCCAGCGTATGAGGCCCTGCACTGATAAGGTGTCTGCTGGTAATAGTTGCTGCATATAAGAGTACAGGAAAAAGGAAGTGGTTCAATGCCGAATGACAACATGAAAACGTATCTGCTGAATTGCAATACTCTATAGATTGCTGTAACTATAGCACACAAAATAAAGTCTTCAATAGCTGCTTGCTAGTCGTTGCTTGGTAACAAATCTTACCTGGTTAACACTTCACAGCTGAGTTATATTACAAATGAATGAATTGAATTCACGAATGAACTCTCTTTTATAAGTTCAGGAACACCGAATAGAAGCTACTGGTCTCCTGTATCCACTGTAGCGGAAATGCCTGGTGATCCCAAGATTCCTCATATCCACGGAAACCTTTGCTGAATCTTTGTTGACATGAGAATGAGTTATAGCTAACCATTGCCTAGGAAATGGACTTCTGCATGTTGGTTGGTATTCCGTATTTGGGTGGTGTTTGCCGAAACGTTGCCTAGCAAATGATGGTTGGAGCATTTGTTGCAGACGCCCCTGTACAAACGCTACAACACTATCCAACATTTTTAAATGTGGATAACATGCCCGAAGCTACTCATGAAGTAGATGAAATCAACCAACGTCTTCAACATTAATCCTGGGAACCAAGGTTACACAATCATTTTTTTCATCATTTTACTCATTGATATTATTTTGTTTTGTTGGTCTTTCCACAATCATGGTGTTACCTGCAGCGGGTCTGTTTATTCTTTCTTGAAATTGTATTCTCAGAATTCACTTTTTAAGTGTATAATATTGTGGCATGTAGACCTGTTGCTAGGTGGCAACCACAAGATAGACTACCATAAAGGGGCTTGCAAACAACAACAAAGGAATGGTGTTTTCTGTGTGGTCTGTGCCACGATGTTATAATCAGGGCAGTTGGAGCAATGAGTTAGTTGTGAGGCAGTCACCAGCCAGTAAGAACGTGAGAATGGAAAAATAGTACATGGTTAGCTGTGTGACCAGGCACTGACTGGTGAGGACGCTGAGAAGACTTGGTACGTGTTGTCGTGAACTGCAGAGTGAGTGAATTAGCCATAGCACTGTAGATACTTGTAGTCAGTATCTGTAAGTGTTTAGTAAATCCAATTACCATTCCAAACCCTGTCTGTAGTCACTCATACAGGTGGCAATATCTTACCAATTTTATTGAACTGTTATTGTATTGATATTCTGAAGGTGTGAAGTCTTCAGTCTTCTGAAGCACATTTCTGCTAAGCTGTAGAATGTGGCACATGTTATTTATTGCAGGTCTGATGGGAGCTGTAGGCTTGTATATTATGACATGATTACTTAAACATTGTCCGTTGTGTGGCAATGCCTTAGTAAACAAGCAAGCCATCACTAGGCAACTGATCGCCAGCACATCAGCAACAATGAAGGAACTGAGTTCCAATCTGTGCCATGCTATTTAAGTAACCGAGTCAGTTGCCACCATGAGGAGTTGTGTGAGATGGTAGCCAGATGGCAGAAGGAACTCCACTGTTGGGAACGAGAACCTGGCAAAGCCTAATATAGACTGCTACCAAGCAACAACTCGTGAAGGCTACAGCGAACTGAGACTGTGTGCTGTAGCATGTAGATTAGTGGTAGTAATACAATTGTTTGTGGCTATGAGTTGTAAGAGCCCAATAAATCTCATTAGCAATCTAAACTCTGTGTCTAGTCACTTACACCTGACAGTGTTTCACTTTAAGCCATAACTTTCAGTGCTTTCGGATTGACTTGTGGAATCTGTTTCTTAAGTTCCTGGTTAATTATAGTTAGTTAGAGTTCTCACCATGTCCTTGCATTTTCTGATTGGGATCATTTTGTGGTATGCTGATTTGAGTATTATGTATAAACTGTTTATTTTCTCATGTAAATTATATTTGTCTATTATTAATTTACACTGATTTTCTTTCTCACTACTAGATAAATTGTTTTTGTTCATTGATTGAATTATATTTTTGTTTATGTTTGCTGTTTAAAGTATTTTGCTTGACTATTAATGATGTATGTTATGTGCTGCTAGACATCCAATGGCTCTCTGTTCTCTACCTGATTTTGTTTAAGGTGGGCTTCTCCAAACTGTATGAGCAAACTGCCCTGTCATCATCATAATTGATGTCTCTTCAATAGCTTATTTTAAAAATGGGAGCTATCTCACCTAAGCGGACAATTTGGTTTTTACGGCTGAGAATCAAGGTAACATAATTTATTCAAGGAGGAGGTTACTGAATGCTTAAGTGATGAGGGTCGAAAACATTATTACTGGCCATGGTGCAGGGGCTATCCGATGCCCACCGCCTTCTCGTCTGTTCTCTCACCAGTATCTGCATACAGTTAAAGCAGACCTGGGTTTCTACGTATGTATTGGATAATGACAGAAATACAACACAATTATTTTCATATTACACATGGTATACACAAAATTAATCACATCCAAAATCCAACTCAGCATATTTAAA